CTCTATTTGGATTTTATATTCAACCATTTCAACCGGTGAGTCATAAGACTGTTCTAGGCTACCCAAGAAGTGTTTAGGAATCTCCATTTAGATTTGATTGTTAAATATAGGGATATATACAAAGGAGTTGTAGATTATGGTGAGAAAGTTTGTATAGAAATATTCCATTGTTTAAAAGTCCCTAATTTGGAGACTGGACCCATATAATTATTCTCCCCCACAATGAAATCGGGTGGGAGGGGAGGGACTATGGATCTGTCTCCATACGTTCATACAAATGTTAGTATGTATGTTAAGCCAGGTGTACACTACACGAGTTTGGACCTGATTTACCTGTCCCAGACAAGTTTTTGAAATCGGAGACAAAATACCCATGTAGTTGACTACTCAGGGTGCGCGGTCTTCATCGACGCGTGTTTAATGTGAGTGGGTCAGAGACGCAATCTGAGGGCTACCGATCCCGTCTTTGAGCAGTCCCAGAAGTCCAGATATTTTCAAACATGTTTGATTTTATTGGCACTATCTGCAATGCTCTTGTAGTGTGAAATGTGCAACGACAAGGTTTGAGAACGGTGATCAGCAATAGCCAACGAGAGCTCACTAGAGAAGAAGCCAGTGAGATGACATTGTTTCGCATATGTAGAATATGTAGACTTGAGCAGAAGCGATGACTATTACTAGTATGCGTTTTTACTTGCCAACGTGTCAAATCATTACAGCTCTGAAGTTCACAAGCTATTTTATTCTATTCAAAAAGTTTGCTAGATATTTCAAATCTGTATGGCAAGCGTGAATGCCTGACTGAAAATGTTTGAGGCTGCTCGTTCTAGCTACGTTAACTAGCTAATCATATCACATTGTTTTCGCCAAGACAGCGTGGGATCCTCACGACCAAGTGAAGAATCTTGTAGTGTGTGACCCATCATTAAGTGTACCACGTTGGTAAGAGAAAAAAAACTACAGGAAAGGCGGTTGTTTAATGTGAGGCTCAGCGATTTTCGTGTAGTGTACAACCTGCATTGGTCACACATAATATCTCAGACACCACTGGCCCGATTTGAACTAAACTTGGATGAATGATGCATCTTGCCATAGAGATCCGTCATTTACAAAATTACACTGATGGCCCAAGGGGAGCACTAAAGTAATCAACTGAAATGTCAAACTTTGAACAAGAATATACAGTGAGGGAAAAAAGTATTTTATCCCCTGCTGATTTTGTATGTTTGCCCACTGACAAAGAAATGATCAGTCTATAATTTCAATGGCAGGTTTATTTGAACAGTGAGAGACAGAATAACAACAAAAAAGTCCAGAAAAACGCATGTCAAAAATGTTATAAATTGATTAGCATTTTAATGAGGGAAATAAGTATTTGACCCCCTCTCAATCAGAAAGATTTCTGGCTCCCAGGTGTCTTTTATACAGGTAACGAGCTGAGATTAGGAGCACACTCTTAAAGGGAGTGCTCCTAATCTCAGCTTGTTAGCTGTATAAAAGACACCTGTCCACAGAAGCAATCAATCAATCAGATTCTAAACTCTCCACCATGGCCAAGACCAAAGAGCTCTCCAAGGATGTCAGGGACAAGATTGTAGACCTACACAAGGCTGGAATGGGCTACAAGACCATCGCCAAGCAGCTTGGTGAGAAGGTGACAACAGTTGGTGTGATTATTCGCAAATGGAAGAAACACAAAATAACTGTCAATCTCCCCCTGGCCTGGGGCTCCATGCAAGATCTCACCTCGTGGAGTTGCAATGATCATGAGAATGGTGAGGAATCAGCCCAGAACTACACGGGAGGATCTTGTCAAAGACCTCAAGGCAGCTGGGAACATAGTCACCAACAAAGCAATTGGTAACACACTATGCCATGAAGGACTGAACTCTTGCAGCGCCCGCAAGGTCCCCCTGCTCAAGAAAGCACATATACAGGGCCGTCTGAAGTTTGCCAATGAACATCTGAATGATTCAGAGGAGAACTGGGTGAAAGTGTTGTGGTCAGATGAGACCAAAATCAAGCTCTTTGGCATCAACTCAACTTGCCGTGTTTGGAGGAGGAGGAATGCTGCCTATGACCCCAAGAACACCATCCCGAATCGTCAAACATGGAGATGGAAACATGCTTTGGGGGTGTTTTTCTGCTAAGGGGACAGGACAACTTCACCACATCAAAGGGACGATGGACGGGGCCATGTAACGTCAAATCTTTGGTGAGAACCTCCTTCCCTCAGCCAGGGCATTGAAAATGGGTCCAGCATGACAATGACCTAAAACACATGGCCAAGGCAACAAAGGAGTGGCTCAAGAAGAAGCACATTAAGGTCCTGGAGTGGCCTAGCCAGTCTCCAGACCTTAATCCCATAGAAAATCTGTGGAGGGAGCTGAAGGTTCGAGTTGCCAAACGTCAGCCTCGAAAACTTAAAGACTTGGAGAAGATCTGCAAAGAGGAGTGGAACAAAATCCCTCCTGAGATGTGTGCAAACCTGGTGGCCAACTACAAGAAACGTCTGACCTCTGTGATTGCCAACAAGGGTTTTGCCACCAAGTACTAAATCATGTTTTGCAGAGGGGTCAAATACTTATTTCCCTCATTAAAATGCAAATCAATTTATAACATTTTTGACATATGTTTTTCTGGATTTTTTTACTGTTATTCTGTCTCTCACTCTTCAAATAAACCTACCATTAAAGTTATAGACTGATCATGTCTTTGTCAGTGGGCAAACTTACAAAATCAGCAGGGGATCAAATACTTTTTTCCCTCACTGTATATATCCTGTCCCGTTTGAGCTACAGTCATAACATTTTGTACATACGCTACCGTTCAAAAGTTTGGGGTCACTTAGAAATGTCCTTGTTTTCGAAAGAAAATCAATTTTTTTGTACATTAAAATAACATCAAATTGATCCGTAATACAGTGTAGACATTGTTAATGTTGTAAATGGCTATTGTAGCTGAAAACGGCTGATTTTTAATGGAATATCTACATAGGCGTACAGAGGCCCATTATCAGCAACCATCAGTCCTGTGTTCCAATGGCACATTGTGTTTGCTAATCCAAGTGTATCATTTTAAAAGGCTAATTGATCATTAGAAAACCCTTTTGCAATGATGTTAGCACAGCTGAAACTGTTGTGCTGATTAAAAAAGCAATAAAACTGGCCTTCTTGAGACTAGTTGAGTATCTGGAGCATCAGCAATTGTGGGTTCGATTACAGGATCAAAATGGCCAGAAACAAATAACTTTCTTCTGAAACTCGTCAGTCTATTCTTGTTCTGAGAAATTAAGGCTATTCCATGCGAGAAATTGCCAAGAAACTGAAGATCTCGTACAACGCTGTGTACTACTCCCTTCACAGAACAGTGCAAACCTCTGGCTCTAACCAGAATAGAAAGAGGAGTGGGAGGCCCCAGTGCACAACTGAGCAAGAGGACAAATACATTAGTGTCTAGTTGAGAAACAGGCGCCTCACAGGTTTATCAACATTTTAAGCTAAATGTTCTGATCTGTTGCGTAAAAAAGGTTTTTACTTGTAGCCTGTGAGAAAGATCCAATCACGTGATGGAGTGCACAGCACTCAGGGAGAAGGGCACAACAGCCACTGGCCGCAAAAGGCATGGTTTATTTTAGGGTGCATTACGGCCACACAAAGGGGATGCCGGTGTGAAATCTTGGGCATTATCAAGGGCTTGTCAAATTGTGAATGAGTGACTGATGTAGTGTGTACAGCCTGCGTAAAAAAAACTAAGCAGAGCACATGCCTTTCAAGCGACTTTTTTCAAATCATCAGTAGTCGCATCATGCAGCCTTACAACGTATTAAAAATTAAAACATAAAGCCCAACATTTGTAGAACAACTAAAGTTAAATTAATAACTCTAAATTAAGCATATAGGAATGCCTATTTATTTTTAACCGCTCAACACAGGATAGCCACATGTGCGCACTTCCTCAAATCGTTTGGAGAAAATGTCCTTCCTATTTTATTCAGCTTTGTTCAATTGTATTCTTCATACTATAAAATAATGCCACGGAATTCTAAGCAAATCTTGTCTGCTAAATGAACTAGTGTAGCCCACAGCCATTTGGCATAGCCAGATCAGGACCTAACATCAGGACAACTCAGAGTATGCTATTCTGTTCTTCTGAAATAGGCTACATTTTCTTGATATCATGCTTCTTTAGATTTATTAGGCTTTTTAAAATGTAGATGTTCAAAAAGGTCTGCATCAGTGGCTTGTAGGCTATGTGTGGAAGCCAGGAGATGCTAAATGTGTTTGTTAATTAACGGTCAATTACCGTGAGACCGACAGTTATTTGCTTGACAATTACCGGCTGGCAAAATTTCATGACCGCCACAGCCCTAGCCATGACCAGCTTCTACCCCCAAGCCATAAGATTGCTGAACACTTAATCAAATGGCTACCCTGACTATTTGCACTGACTCTCACAACAAGACCATTATTTACAAGTTAATGGCAAGCTAATTACAAAAAATAGCTTACAGTTGTGAGTGTGACAGAATGCCCTGCTTTTATTTCACCTGCGAATGTTAGAACTTGTTCTCTGTCTCGTTGGCCTAACGTTATATCCCAATTTGACTTTGGTGCAGATCATGTTCTTCACATTACTGTCTGGTAAACACACACTATACAAAATAAAGCTAGCTAGCTAAACAATTAACCATAATCCCAACTCATAACGTTACTACCATGCATGAATCTGCAGATAACTCAGGTTAACCAACTAGGTTCAATGTTAGCTAGCTAGCTAACATTAGGCTATAACTAGCAATGCAAATCGCTTTCTGAGATTACAAATAATATTACTACGCAGATCATACACGTAACGTTAGCTAGCAAGCCAGCCAGCCAGCTAACGTCAGCTGGCTAGCTAACAGTACGCTTTAACTTGCAATGAAAACGACTTTCTGTGAAAATTTGAAACATGTCATATCTGAAAATGTAGCTAGCTAGACTCTCTTATCCATCTACATGGATGAACGCTTCTCCCGCTCTGTCACGGATGCCATGGTTGCCCTTAGTTTGAAGATGTAATCCGGAGACAGGTGTTTTATACAACAGCCTTTTGTATTTTCTCTTTTCGACTCCCTCCGCATATTTGCAATTTTCTCCATCGCCTTAGCTATCATACTCTGCTTCCACCAGGCATTCCAGTGATTTCAGTCAACTTCTTCATTGGAGGTCTTCATGATATCTTTTTAAAAAGCTGCAGTAGAAAGGATAATCTACACATACTGAGCAGCTCATGTTATAGACCGAAGCATGCTTCATGGCAGACCAATCCGAACTCATATCTCTGCATGTCCAGCCCATCCATTATCTCAGCCAATCATGGTTAGCGGGAAGGTTCCTGACTTTTTCTGTGGCTAAACCAACTAGGTTTGTAATTTAACAATTGTATTCGTATTTACAGATGGCATACAAGTTTGTTATTAAGGCACATGAAAGTTCACGTTCCAGAAGGCATTTATGCCCAAAAACGCATTCAAAAACGTGTTCAAATGCCTCTCCTGTGAAGTAGTGACGTGCGACATATGCCTAGTTTCCTGAAACTAGTCACATTTTACAGGAATATTCTCATTATGGTATCCAGAGTATTTTCAGATATTGTTATCAACAAATTCGTACAGTAAATGTAAAATGCACATAAAATCAACAGAGTAATGTTTGTATTCAGTCTTGTCAGGTGAACTGTTGTCCTCACCTTTTGTTCTACCCAGTCCTCACCCAGTCTTTTACCCCACCACACACCCCACAGTACCTCCCTAGCCCCATCCCAGGCACCCATCCCTTACCCATGTAAGGTAGCCTTTGTGGAGAGTCTGTATTTAAGGAAAATGGCTAATATTTAGGGACTGGAGCTTGTAATGTTAGCTGGGCACCTATTTTAAACCAGCCCGTGAAGTCCTATACATAGCCAGGCCAACACAGTTAGTGGTGCCGCATATAGGGGGATAAAGAGACTGGAGGTCGGCACACGCGCACACACACACTGGCCGGGAAGTGGGCACATAAAGCGCTCTCCTGTACATCTTATTTTGTTTGCCTTCTAAGCCAGCGTGCCCACTCAGTCTACTCTAGCTTCACCTGGAAGGTTCTGTGACACCATGTAAGCTTCCGCAGGGGTCCAAAGAAAGTTGTGTAGGTGTAAAGGGAGGGGAAAATGTCTCTCTCTCGCTCGCTAGACGCTTGGCATTGCGCATGGTGATCTTAGGCTGGTGTGCGATGCTCGGCCATGGAAACCCATTTCATGAAGGTCCCGACGAACAGTTCTTGTGCTGACGTTGCTTCCAGAGGCAGTTTGGAACTCGGTAGTGGGTGTTGCAACCTAGGACAGGCGATTTTTACCCGCTACGTGCTTGAACACTCGCCGGTCCTGTTCTGTGAGCTTGTGTGGCCTACTACTTCGCGGCTGAGCCATTGTTGCTCCTAGACGTTTCCACTTCACAATAACAGCACTTACAGTTGAACGGGGCAGCTCTAGCAGGGCAGAAATTTGATGGTGGCATCCTTTCTACTGCCAATGTTTGTCTATGGAGATTGCATGGCTGTGTGCTCGATTTTATACACCTGTCAGGAACGGTGTGGCTGAAATTGCCGAATCCACTAATTTGAAGGGGTGTCATATTTTTGTGTATGTATAATGTATATATATTCCTATCTATCTAATGTCTCTCTCTCACTCACTCACTCTCACTACCAGTCAAAAGTTTTAAACACCTACTCATTCAAGGGTTTTTCTTTATTTTTTTACTATTTTCTACATTGTAGAATAATAGTGAAGACATCAAAACTATGAAATAACACATGGAATCATGTAGTAACCAAAAATGTGTTAAACAAATCCAAATTATATTTTATATTTGAGATTCTTCAAATAGCCACCCTTTGCCTTGATGACAGCTTTGCACTCTCTTGGCATTCTCTCAACCAGCTTCACCTGGAATGCTTTTCCAACAGTGTTGAAGGAGTTCCCACTTATGCTGAGCACTTGTTGGCTGCTTTTCCTTCACTCTGCAGTCTGACTCATCCCAAACCATCTCAATTAGGTTGAGGTCGGGGGATTATGGAGACCAGATCATCTGATGCAGCACTCCACTCTCCTTCTTGGTAAAATAGCCCTTACACAGCGGAGGTGTGTTGGGTCATTGTCCTGTTGAAAAACAAATGATAGTTCTACTAAACCCAAACCAGATGGGATGGCGTATCGCTGCAGAATGCTGTGGTAGCCATGCTGGTTAAGTGTGCCTTGAATTCTAAATAAATCACAGACAGTGTCACTAGCAAAGCACCCCCACACCATCACACCTCCTCCTCCATGCTTTACGTTGGGAAATACACATATGGAGATCATCCGTTCACCTACTTTGCGTCTCACAAAGAAAAAGCGGTTGGAACCATAAATCTCAAATTTGGACAGATTTCCACCGGTCTAATGTCCATTGCTCATGTTTCTTGGCCCAAGCAAATCTCTTCTTTTTATTGATGTCCTTTAGTAGTGGTTTCTTTGCAGCAATTTCACCATGAAGGCCTGATTCACGCAGTCTCCTCTGAACAGTTGATGTTGAGATGTGTCTGTTACTTGAACTCTGTGAAGCATTTATTTGGGCTGCAATCTGAGGTGCAGTTAACTCGAATGAACTTATCCTCTGCAGCAGAGGTAACTCTTGGTCTTCCTTTCCTGTTGCGTTCCTCATGAGAGCCAGTTTCATCATAGCGTTCGATGGTTTTAGCGACTGCGCTTGAAGTTCTTGACATTTTCCAGATTTACTGACCTTCATGTCTTAAAGTAATGATGGACTGTCGTTTCTCTTTGCTTATTTGAGCTGTTCTTGCCATAATATGGACTTGGTCTTTTACCAAATAGGGCTATCATCTGTATACCACCCCTACCTTGTCACAACACAACTGACTGGCTCAAATGCATTAAGAAGGAAAGAAATTCCACAAATTAACTTTTAACACGGCACACCTGTTAATTGAAATGCATTCCAGGTGACTACCTCATGAAGCTGGTTGAGATAATGCCAACAATGTTCAAAACTGTCATTAAGGCAAAGGGTGGCTACTTTGAAGAATCTCAAATATAAAATATAAAATATATTTTGATGTGTTTAATACTTTTTTGGTTACTACATGATTCCATGTGTTATCACAGTTTTATATCATCACTATTATTCTACAATGTAGAAAATTGTAAAAATTAAGAAAAACCCTTGAATGAGTAGGTGTGTCCAAACCTTTGACTGGTTCTGTATGTACAACAATAGACAATATAATGATATTACATCAGTGTTTAAATGTCCCTTGGTCCTACAGTATCTGCCATCTTAAGAGTCGGAATGTCTTAATGTTCACATGACTGGTTTGCCTTCAGCTACTTTTTCAGGTTTGCCTTGAAGCTAGCAAAGGTGCTGCACTCTCTCACACTGGTTGACAGGGTGTTCCATAATCCTGATTCTCTGACTGAAAAAGCTGCTTTCACCTCTCACTAGAGCGCCATCACCACTAGCCTACTTCCCTCTGGTGCAGACAGAGGCTTCTGGCTGGGGAACCGTGTATTGTGAATGGCTGTTGTAATCAATAAATTGGTTGCAGTATCAAAGTTGAGTGGGAGGCTAAGGCTCATGTCTGGTCTGGTCTGGGCCTCACCATGCCCATCTGTCCGTATGTCCCTACTAGTTCTCTAGCTAACAGAGTGTGTTGTTGTAGTAGGATCCTAGTAGACAGACAGCTGAACTGAGCCCCTTTCTAACTGTCTGGGCCTCCCCTCCCCCTGTCTCTTGTGTGTGTCTTGCAGTCCTGTCCGGCGGTGGCGGCGGGCAGCACAGTCCCCTGAAGCGCTCGGTGTCCCTCACCCCCCCGATGAGCGGCAGCTCCTTGGCCAGTTCCTCCTCCTCGTCGGGCGGCCAAGCCCTGGGCCTGGGTCTGGGTCACGGTTGGCTCTCCCAGGAGGACCTGCGCGGGCCCCGGGGAAGAGGAAAAGGAGGAGGAGGGCTGGGGCTGGCCCCCACTGACCCTCACCACGCTCCCCTCTCCCCCCAGAGCAGCGTAGCGTCGTCGGGCAGCGGCGGCAGCGAGCACCTGGAGGATGGTTGCTGTGTAGGAGGCATGCACCGCAGCAGCACATTCCACGAGGAGGGCAGCGGCATGAGGGGTGAGTTCAGTACTCCACCGCTCTCATGCGTAGCTTAGGCGCAGTGGACAGAGTAGCATGGAGGAGGCAGCCATGGGGGGTGGAGGGTGTTCACTTCAGGATGTCCCTCATCGATTGTTTGTTTTGAGGTGACCAATGCTACCCCCCAACAGCATTTGGCAGTTAGATTTGTATTGTAGTGATCTGGTCATTGATAAAAAATTTTAAAAACTTCTAAATATCAGTTGCCATGTCAGTCCATCAATGTCAGTTGGAACAGAGCCTTTGTCCTGGTCTGAGGAGGTTATTGTTGAAGAGGTATCTTAGGGAGACTCTCAATTGCATACTCCTTGTGTCCCCTCTCCTCGCCTCCTTCTCAAAACCCATTGGATGAGAAAGCCAAAGGTCCCTCCACTCTGACCTTTTCCTCCAATGGGTTTTGAGAAAGAGGCTAGGAGAGAGGACAAGAGAGAATCTCCCTATAATGCCTCTTCAACAATAACCTCCTCAGACCAGGACAAAAGCTCTCTTCCAACTGACATTGATGGACTGACATTGCAACTGATATTTGAAGTTTTTTAATAAAATAAAAAATCAATGACCAGTTCACTACAATATACATTTTGATAAAGAGGCGAGGAGAGCGGACGCGTGGAGTATGCAATTGAGATTCTCCCATAATGTTTTCTAGAAACTCTTCTCCAACCATGTGTTTGGTGTGAGGGGGACTATTTCCCAGAAAGGAAGAGAGAGGAGGGAGACGTGTGGTTTCTCGCAGGGTGAAGCGACCTGTCTTGTTTGGCCTGTTTTTTGTGCTTTTTTTGTGTGAAAGAAACTCATGACCCCTGGTAACTGCTGGTACAATTGTTGATTGGTTGGTTTGGTTGCCCCCCCCCCTTCCAGGTGTTCACAAGCCACCCCCAGCTTCTTAGAAATGAACATCCCATCTGTTGTCACATAATACTGAATGTAGCCTACAGAATAGCAATGATGGTGATTTGTGGATGAGCGTATGTATGTATGTATATATGTGTGTGTGTGTGTGTGTGTGTGTGTGTGTGTGTGTGTGTGTGTGTATATACAGTGGGGAAAAAAAGTATTTAGTCAGCCACCAATTGTGCAAGTTCTCCCACTTAAAAAGATGAGAGAGGCCTGTAATTTTCATCATAGGTACACGTCAACTATGACAGACAAAGTCCCTGGCGGCGTAGTGTGTTACTGATGGTAGGCTTTGGTACTTTGGTCCCAGCTCTCTGCAGGTCATTCACTAGGTCCCCCCGTGTGGTTCTGGGATTTTTGCTCACCGTTCTTGTGATCATTTTGACCCCACGGGGTGAGATCTTGCGTGGAGCCCCAGATTGAGGGAGATTATCAGTGGTCTTGTATGTCTTCCATTTCCTAATAATTGCTCCCACAGTTGATTTCTTCAAACCAAGCTGCTTACCTATTGCAGATTCAGTCTTCCCAGCCTGGTGCAGGTCTACAATTTTGTTTCTGGTGTCCTTTGACAGCTCTTTGGTCTTGGCCATAGTGGAGTTTGGAGTGTGACTGTTTGAGGTTGTGGACAGGTGTCTTTTATACTGATAACAAGTTCAAACAGGTACCATTAATACAGGTAACGAGTGGAGGACAGAGGAGCCTCTTAAAGAAGAAGTTACAGGTCTGTGAGAGCCAGAAATCTTGCTTGTTTGTAGGTGACCAAATACTTATTTTCCACCATAATTTGCAAATAAATTCATTAAAAATCCTACAATGTGATTTTCTGGATTTTTTTTCCTCATTTTGTCTGTCATAGTTGACGTGTACCTATGATGAAAATGACAGGCCTCTCTCATCTTTTTAAGTGGGAGAACTTGCACAATTGGTGGCTGACTAAATACTTTTTTCCCCACTGTGTATATATTTATTTATTTATTCATTCATAGTTCAAAATGTCACATTCTGTGGTTTCAGCACTTAGTAGACCTATCTCTGATGTCTTGTCTGTGCACGTATTTGAGTGAATGGGGCAACAGGAAACAAGACACCTGTCGCATGGTATTTTAAGTTATGCACCACCGCCGCTCATTTTAAGGGCTCGAATAAGGCTTGACCACAGTAGCAACGGTGGGGCACAGACAGGACAGGAGAAAACATGCCAGGATAGGAGCAAACATGCTCCTATCAGTCTCTGATGTCGTCTTTCAGGGGTGGCTTTCTTTTACACCCTGTCTCATGCTCAGTCTCAGGACATGACACAGAGATACAGTGCCATCTGGTTCCTATACACCATATAACCTTTTAGCCAAATATATGGGACATCATGAAAATGATGGTTTTGGTTGAGTGATCAGATAGCCTTCTTACCTCTCGTTTTAAGCCGACGTTGGTTTTTCATTGGGATAGTTGTGTGAATTGTGCAGTTATTTGGTTTTGAGAAAAGTGTGAGTGCGAAAAGGTGTTTGGGGTGATTTTAGTGCCAACAGAAATGTTATCTGAATTTAATCATTTTGAATTTGTATTCATAAATTGAATTTGAATTCAATTTTTTTTTACTTTGCATTGCACAAGTTGATTCAATTGATGAATACAAATTCAAGATGAATGAATTCAGATCACTCCGTAAATGGTGTGTGTGACCTGATCAGTTAACACCAATCGGTGGCTTTATAGTTGATGCCGTCTGAAGCATTTTCACAAGTTTCCCCACTTCTTTACCCCAGTCTTTCCCCTAGATTATTGTCCAGGCGTGGCACAAAGGCCCCCAAAGCAACATCCAGGCCCTCTGGGGACCAACAGAGTTGGGCAGGGGGGCCTGCCCCAGCTTTACAATGGTAGGGGAAACACTACTTGACCCTCACTTCCATTGACACATATTTGTTCAGAAAATGCCCCTTATCCAGACTGACATTCAAATTGGAACAGTCCCTGTCTGCATATAGTACAGTGAAGCTTCTTGGCACCACATCCACCTCTGATAAGCTAAATTATCTAACTGACATAGCGTCCAAGTCGTCTTCTGTGTCATGTTCATTAGGGCACACAACGTTTGAAAACGTTTTGCAACTGAAATAGAAAATTAGCGTTTCAAAGTCCAGGTAGTCCCTCTGTGTTTCAGTCCATTTTCTTCCATTGGGTGCCTAATGAACACGACCCTGAACTTACCCATCTACAGGAAGAGTGAGAACTCGGCTGTTTGTGTTGTTGGGGGGAAAGTTAACAAAAACTGCCAGTATATTTACAGTCAACTCCCACCAGAGTTCTTTGAATACAGATTACTAAGCATTGCTAAGCATTAACAATATAAACATTAATTCTCCTAAGCATTACGTCATCTGGGCCTATATTCCAAAAGTGTCTCAGGGTAGGAGTGCTGATCAAGGATCAGGTCCGTCCTGTCCGTATACTCTTATTCATTACGATATAAAAGGCTAAACTGATTCTATATCAGCACTTCTACTCTGAGACACTTTGTGAATACGGGTCCTGAACAGTCCAACCTGCTAACAGTGGCGGTTTCTAGATTTGTAAGTCTTTGCTTAGGGTCAAAGATTTTGAAATAAGGCCATTTTAGGCTTTGTTTAGAGACTGTTGTTTGCATCCAGGTGTGAAGTACACTGTTAAAATACAATGTTACCAATACATTATGAAGTGGCAATGAAACATGATTAAAGCAGTAATGTGAAAGACTGCTAAGTTAATTGACATTTTCACTCTCACCACACAACAACCATAGCAAGCGATAGAATTATCCTTTTTACGCTTCCAGTCAACTAATGGTCATAGAACCAAATCTCCTTAGCTAGCGACCAACATATGAGGTGGTCTCTTGTATCAGTGTTTTACATCACAGCTTTGACAGGAAAGGTTAGAGTTGAAGGGATAAGAATGCATCCCAAATGGCACCTTAACCCTATATAGTGCACTACTTTTGACCAGAGCTCTATGGGCCCTGGTCAAAAGTAGTGGATTTAATAGGGAATAGGGTACCATTTGGGACACCGCCTGAGACACTAGGCGAGTTTTAATGGTGAGAGGGAATAGCAGAAAGGAGGACATTACCCCATCTGTGATGTCTTATGTCAGTGCCATTACACTGACTCCCTGACTTACGTGTGTGTGTGTGTGTGTGTGTGTGTGTGTCTACAGATGTACCAGCCTGGCTGAAAAGCCTCCGTCTCCACAAATATGCGGCACTCTTCTCCACCATGACGTATGACGAGATGATGTCACTGACCGAACAGCAGCTGGAATCACAGGTCAGTAGCATAGCATAGATGGCTTCTTCTAACTATGGGAATACCTAAGGAAAACGTACTAGGAACGTAACAGCAAATGTTAGGGCATTGGAAGTCATTGCCTTCAGTTTTTAGTACTGTACTTTTCCCACAAAGTTGTCTTCATAAAAGAGCTGATAGACATGAACCGGTATTTTAAGCATTACAATAAGACATTATAACGGCTCATTCATGCTTATAACAAGTTATAAAGCATTATAACCACAGGCTTTAAGTAAAGACATTTTCAGTAGAACACTTTGATTAATTATGACCCTTTTCACTGTGTATTTAACTTGTCGTTGGTGTGTGTGTGTGATGAAGGAATGTTGAAAGGGTGAAATTATGTTTTTCTTCTGCAGAATGTCACCAAAGGGGCAAGGCACAAGATAGTCATCAGCATTCAGAAACTGAAGGAGCGTCAGAACATGCTGCGCTGCCTAGAGAAGGTCAGTGGTGCAAGCTGTCAATTTATTAGATTGAGTGAATTGTCACAAAAAGACTGGTGAAAACAATACTAGGAAGAGGTCCAAGTGAGGGCCCTTGGAAGCTCTCCTTTCGCTTTGAGAGGCAGACAGGACAGGAGCGAAACATTATTTTGGAATAACTTTATTTTCCCTCGTCATCAAATGGCTGGTGAGCGTCTCCTACCTTTCATGACGGAAATATCCCGCCGCCCACCTGACAGCTGCTGGTGTAGAGAGGACTCTGATGGAGACTTCTAGAATGATTCTCCTGTGAATAGGACTATGCATATTTGCATCCCTTACTGTAACGGTCCGGAACTGTTTGGTATCATATAGGGCTGTGGCGGTCATTACATATTGTCAGCCGGTTATTGTCATGCAAAAGACTGCCTGTCTCACGGTAATTTACCGTTAATTAACATAAATACATTTAGCATCTCCAGGCCTCCCCGCGTACAAGTCGCTGACATGTCATCATTTCTGTCTTTGATGTTAAAGAAACACCTTCATATTGATCATGCATATTTTTTTGTTTTTCCTTTCTCCCTGCTATACCTACCTTCTCCTTTCTTCTCACTCCTCTCTTTTCCCTCATCTTTGTGACCTTCTCTCTCCTCTCCATTCCTTTATTCTCTCTCTTTCGTCACTCTCTCTTAACTTTCACTTTGTCCTGCCCCTTCTTTTTCTCTCTCTTTCTATCACTTTCTTGTGTTCTTTTTCCCCTTCACGTTCTCTCTCTCCCTCTCTGCTTCTCTCTCCCAGGATGTGTTGGAGGGGGGTAACCTGCGCGCCCCTCTCACCGAGCTCCACCAGATGATCCTGACGCCCATCAAGGCGGTGGCCAGCGATGAGTCGTCCCCCAGCTCGCCCTCCTCGACCACACAGAGACCCCTGTTGAGCCCAGAGGGGAAGTGCAGCGCCGCCCCGGGCTCCCACCTCGCCCCGGGAGGAGGGGAGGGGGAGACAGGGACCACCCTAATCGCTGAGGGGGACATCCCCGGCCAGTTCACCCGCGTCATGGGCAAAGGTACAGAGGATCTAGTCCCATAGGTTGGGAAGTGAAGTTGTCGTAACGTTGTCATACGCACAACACATTTGATGTAGGTGCTGCTGAGAGACTGCACTGAAAGAAACCAAACACCTGGGATCACAATGTGGTCAATATTAAAGGGGTTTTTAAATCGGAAAACTGTTTTCATATATTGCTCACCAGTCCATCATCGATATGGTCTCAAAATATCATTATTTTGTACATTAGAGCATCAGAGCTAGCCTGATAGAAAGCCTGTGTTTACTTCCTGGAAAAGTCTGATGATGCAAAACACAACATTATAAGGCTTTTTGCGTTTACTTTGTTTTGGGCGTCAGGAGACTGAAAGCGATATATTTTGAAAACGTCAATGCTGATATGCACACTTTTTGGGACTAATAAAAAAACATTTGGAGTAAATTGCCCCTTTAAGGGTGGTATAAGGAACATTCTAGTATGGGGCCTTTTGATTTCTTGACTTCCCTTCCTCTCCATTACCGTCAGAGTGTTATGTGCTGAGCAAACAGTGGCCATATTAAAAGAAATGTGGAAGATGGAAATCAGTGGGGCCACGTTTTCCCATGCTCAAACCCCCTCTGTGTCATTGAAGTCACCCTGCTTTGGGGAAATTAACTCTCTCCCTCCCCCTCTCCCTCTCCCTCTCCCTCTCCCTCTCTCCAGTTTGCACACAGCTCCTGGTGTCCAGGCCAGACGAAGAGAACATCAGCTCCTACCTGCAGCTCATTGACAAGTGCCTTCTTCACGAGGTATACATGCACAGACACACACACACACACACACACACACACACACACACAGACACACACACACACAACTGACAATACTTTTCTTTATACAGTTCTTCAGACCCTTATTTAGCTCATGGGTGAATGTAACACATTAGAACAGCACATGTCTCTATTTCCTGTCTGCAAAACCCTGAGTCATTCTCTCTCCTCCTCTTTGGCCCTGCAACCCCTCCTTCCCCCCTCCTCCCACAGGCATTCACAGAGTTGCAGAAGAAGCGACTGTTGTCGTGGAAACAACAGGTGCAGAAGCTGTTCCGCTCGTTCCCCAGGAAGACCCTCCTGGACATGACCGGCTACCGGGCGCAGAGGAGGTAGATTTGACCCTACACACACACACACACACACACACACACACACACACACACACACACACACACACACACACACACACACACACACACACACACACACACACACACACAGTGAGTGAGACGTCCTAACCTCTCCTCCTTCACACCATCTGTTCTCAGTCTCACCCACGCCTCCCTAGCCATTGTAGAATGTTTTCAACTTAACTTTTTATTACTAAAGCTCTATCACCACCACGAATTTGTATTCTATGACTTCCTCGGCTAAATGTTTAAAAGGTCAAATAATGTAGCTACAGTGTGGCAACACTCCCGGCTCTTGACACATAAACGACTCCCCTCCGGAGACCGGGGTTCCCTGGGTCCACCCTCTCCAACTTGCCTATCTCCTCAATCAATCTATCAAATGTATTTTAATTTTTTTTACATTTTATATTAGCAGTTGTCACAAAAGGTTTTACCTTTGATTCCTAACGGTCTAAAAAATATTGGGGGGAAAAGGTCAAATGATAATCAAAGCATTATCTCTCTCTCCCCATGCAGCAGCAGCAGTAGCCGGGGCTTCGGCCAGTCCAATTCTCTCCCCACGGCGGGCTGCGTGGGGGGCAGCAGCAGCGTGTCGGCCCGTCGCAGCCTGCGCCAGTTCCAGATGCCCTCGCGGAGCCTCCCCGGCGCCAGGCTGGGCCTGCTGGGCACCGCCGGCCTCCTGGGACCCACGCCACATAGCGCCAGCAGCACCCCCACCGGCCTCAAGCAGGGACGACAGGTGGGGACACTTCTGACTTTAACCTTCTCCTAGTCCCTAGGCACTTGGCCTCCACCCCAAGCCTAGGCAATTGATGTAGATTTTTTTTATTTGGTGATGTCAGATTGCGGAGTCTCCCTTTAGGCTGGGATGACAGATGGGGACGCCCCGATCTAACGTTCTCCTTGCCCCGTACATCTAGCCCCTGCCCACATCGGCGTGATCAACTAAAATATTTGCTCAAGTCTCCGATTGACATCAATGTGTGATGTCTGAATTAAGCGCACATGTCTACATTTTGGGCATTCATGTAGATCTGAGTGGATTTCTTAGGTGATTTCATATTGCGGAGTTAGTCTAGCTTTCAATGAAAAGACAAACAATCCTTGTCAGCGTCAATTTGGTTCGCTACAGTAGTGGACAGTGGGTAGTGATACAAAGGGCCCCCTAGATGAAAAAACTAAAACATTGTTGTCTTCTCAGTCTCGGGGTGCTGTTTATTTAAGCTATAATAATTAGAGCAGTAAAAATACATGTTTTGTCATACCCGTGGTATAAATGCCATTATAAACTGGGTGGTTTGAGTCCTGAATTCTGATTGGCTGAAAGCCATGGTATATCAGACCATATACCACGGGTATGACAAAACATTCATTTTTACTGTTCTAATTACGTTGGTAACCAGTTTATAGTAGCAATAAGGCACCTCTGGGGTTTGTGATATATGGCCAATATACCATGGCTAAGGGCTGTGTCCAGGTGCTCCGCGTTGCGTTGTGCATAAGAGCAGCCCTTAGCCATGGTATATTGGCCATATACCACAACTCCTCGGGCCTTATTGCTTAAATATACAGTGGGGGATAATATAATAACTGGAGAAAGGAAAGAGTGAGAACCACTCCTTGATCAAGTGTCTGGAATCGTCCCACCACATAGAGAAAAAGTCCAAACCTAGCCACATATTCCCTCTTTCAGCATCTGTCCCGAATGATCCCTCCCTTTTGAAATACAGAGTTGTAAAAACAGTCATAGAAACACACAGCCATAAGGGGGGAAAATGCAACAGAAAAGTGACGTGTCGGGTGAAGCGGCTGGAATTCGTAGGCAGGTCACATGCATTCCACAGGCCCTACATCACTGCTGAGTGGAACAGTCCTCCAGTCGGCAGCAGTGATAACCTGGCACTTGCACACGTCTGCTTCTCTCCCATTCAGCATTTTTCTAGGAATCCTTACAATGGGAGGAAATTCCAAACCGCTTCCTCCACATTTTGCACACTCTCTCCGTCCGACCGTTTTTTTGGACAGGATCGAAAGGTTTGGGATGAGTGTATTAAAAGAAAGGAGCTAGGGAGAGGAGGAGGGAGAGAGCGAGGGTGAGTCATAGTTTGGGAGGTGGTGGTGAAGGGGGATGGGCGACCGAGAGAGAGGGAGGAGGGAGAGCGAATGAGCTAGTCAGAGGCAGTGAGAACAGTGCACAGGCATTTCCTGTTTTTCCCTGGCCCTCTGTACGGGAGGGCCGGGAAAGGGGGAGAGAGAGACGGACAGACTGAGAGAGAGGGAGTGGAGGGAGTAGGGAGAGAGAAAGGGGGAGTGGAGGGAGTGAGGGAGAGAGAGAGTGGTTAGGGGAGAGAGAGTGTAGAGAGCAGGAGTAGAGACGGAGAGAGAGAGAGAAAGAAAGAGAGAAGGGTGAATGTATAATAGGCAGGTTACAGAGAGGAATCCGGGCGGTTCAAGAATGTCAGTAGTTTGAGGCTAAAAGGGGAGGGGAGAGAAAAATAAAAGGTTGACTGTATAATGGCTCAGTAGTTTATAGGCTAGAGAGGAAACACTTCTGGGGTGCCCTTCCCTAGTTTTTACACACTTATAAAGCCACCCCCGGGTGTGCATTTAGTTATGTGATAAAGTCCCAATTCAACTGATTTTGGGAAAATGTGTTGAACCAAAATGTACTTTGCACATGATTTAAACTGTATACTACCAACATGTTATTGCCTCTCCTGTGCATTTAGTACTACCGCGGTAGCATTCACCTATAAGTCATTCTGGAGTCAAGTGTGTGTATGAGAATTATAGAGATTTGTCAATATAAATGAACATTTTTACAACCATTAAGTGATGTGCACTCGGTAGTTTGTCTAAGGTAGGGTTCTCAAACTACAATTCCCTGGGTGCCAAGGTGGGGGGCATTTCAATTATCGCCAACATTGTGCAGAACTGTATGTCATATTACTATGGTGTCATAGGGTCATTAACATACAGTGGCGGCCGCTGATTGGCTGGACATTGTCAACAAAGCAGCATGACAGAATTATTAACCCAAGTTTCTAAATTACCGGTTGCTTCTTTAGGAGGATATATGAAGTTGTCTGTGCATTTGAACAACAGTATGAATACACCTATTTCACTTTTGCATGTAAAAACAGACTAACCACTGCTGCACATACTGCCTCAGTTTTGATGACCAAAAGTTGTATTTTTTGAACGAGCAGTGCGCAGCCAGCGCACAAGAGCATCGTTAACAAAAGCACAGGGAAAACGCAACAAGAACAAGTGGATTTAAAAAATCTAACTGGGGATAGCTAGCTAGTATAATGTCACAAGCATAATGAGTTCGCCAGTAACTTTAGTTAGACTTGTTTGGCATGCCAGCTAGAAAGCTAGCTACCTGTATGCTAGCTTGCCAGTAGCTAGTATCCACTAGCTCAAATAAAATGTTATTGGTCACATACACGTGTTTAGCAGATGTTATTGCGGGTGTAGCGAAATGCTTGTGTTTCTAGCTCCGACAGTGCAGTAATATCTAACAAATAATATCTAACAATTTCACAACATATACCCAATACACACAAATCTAAGTAAAGCAATGGAATTAAGAATATATAAATACATATATGGACGAGCAATGTCAGAGAGGCATAGACTAAGATACGGTAGAATAGTATAGAATACATTATATACATATGAGATGAGTAATGCAAGACATGTAAACATTATTAAAGTGACTAGTGTTCCATTTTATAAAGTGGCCAGTGATTTCTAAACTATGTGTATAGGCAGCAGCCTCTAATGTGCTAGTGAATGCTATTTAACAGTCTGATGGCCTTGAGATAGCTGTTTTTCAGTCTCTCGGTCCCAGCTAGCATCTAATGGCAGGGGAAACCAAAAAGTGTTGCAAATTGGGCAGAGAGCCATGTTTTTTTTTTTATCCTACCAGATCCGCAAGAAGGTTCTAGCGAACGTATCCCACTATCCTTCGGCTGTATGTGGATGTCCGGTTCAGGTCCCTTGCTTCCAATGACTGCCCCAGGACAATCCATTTACTTTTGTGCTGTGAAAATCATGTGATGAAATCCTGCAATCTCATTGCTGCAGTTCCCCCCCCCCCCCAAATAGCAAGCAATGTAATAGCTGACAATGCAATCCAAGCACTTGGCGGGACATAGTTGCTGATTGCAGAGCAGTAGGTAACTAAACAGCTTGTTTTGAACAATATATATTTAAAATGTACACAAATTAACCACACTATTTGTATATCTTTTTTTTGGGGGGGGGGGGTTGAGCAATCACAAGTGGGGCACAGCCCCTAACGCCCTAGTGGATGAGCCGCCACTGTTTTCCCAGCAATGTCTGTTAGTGGTTGGATTTGTTGCACCTATTATTGGGATTGTTGTGTCAGTTTAGATGGTCTAGAATGAGTCTCAGTCTGTAGTGATCCAAAAGATATGACTCTCTAGCCTACCGGTCTGTTGTGGCTGTCTGTCTGACTATCTGTTTGTCCAACAGGGTCTGTGGTTCGCCAACCCCGGGGGCAGTAATAGCATGCCCAGCCGGACCCACAGCTCAGTGCAGAGGACCCGCTCCCTGCCTGTCCACACCACGCCACACACCATGGTCATGTTCCAGCAGTCTGGTAAGAGAAACCTACACACACACACAGTTACACTATACACACACACACGTTACACAGCACACACACACTACTGTACAAGGTAACTCTTCCTCTCTTTCCTTTGCTCTCTTTCTTTATCTTTCCCTCTCGCTCCTTATTGTATTGTATCTCTGTCTCCATAAACTCTTAGCAGCCTAGCATCCTCAGGACCTTCCTCTTTGTTAACCTGGAGAGAGATGTTGTTCCTGGTGCTTTAAATGCAGTGTGCTGAGGATGATGGTGTATTGCAGGGAGCTTTACCCAAGGCTGTTGTTCTGCATTGGTGTGTGTGAGTGTGTGTGCACGATGCCCTGTGGCCTGTGGCATTACAGCATCTGATACACTGGTCCCATTACCCACAATGCTGGCCAGGCTCATAAAAATATAGTTACCAGAACAGACATTCCCATTCAAGTCAATGCTCTGCTCGGTGATGGTTGAATGCTGTAACCGCAAGACAAAATGGACATCCAATGTGACAGCGGGGACTTCCTCCTCCGGCCTGTCTTTCATGGGGAACCAAAGTGTACCCCCCCCCCCCCCCTTTTTTTAGAATGGAGAGGAAGAATGGGGAGGGTAGTTTCGGGGGGAAAGATGGAATGCAGCAATATGAGAGGGAGGAAGGGAAGGACAGAGAGAGGGAAGAGTCAGCGGACTGTTACAATGAGTCTCTTTGTGCAGGGTGGCTGGGGTGCCCTGGCACACATTCCCTGCCCTCTCCTTCTCTCTCGTCCTCCCTCGTTCTCTCTCTCTCTCTCTCTCTACCTCCCTCAGAGTCGTACACACTGCACATGCACTCAGGGGTAGCTGGAGTTGGAGCGGGCCAGGGTATGTAGCTGCCTGGAAAGCTAGGTCTCTCTCTCTCACTCTCTCCCTTCTTTAAATGATTGATTAAAACGGAGGTTATACGGGGAGAATGAGGGGATGAAGGAAGGGGGAGTGTGTGTTTTTGAGAACAAGCGTGTGAGCACACAAGTGTGTGTGTGGAGGGGGACAGGATTTGGGGCCTAAAAATAGCCGGTGGCGGACTGTTCTGTCTGTCCAGCCGGGGGGGCGGCGAGTGCCTAACTCAGCTCTTCTCTATACCCACAAGGGATTTTCACAGTCGCCCAAGGCAGGCAGTAGCAGCTAAAGACTAGCCGTTAGCCTAGATATCCCCCCGTGACAGCTAGCTAAGGAGCGCACAGCTGAGGTAAGGGGGCTGCTAGGCTAGCAAGTAAGCAACTGACCCTCTGTCGCTTCTAAGAAGGTTTTTGGGGGGGTTTGGGGTCCCCCTTGTGGCGCAACAGGTGACTTTGAACTTGAGAAGTAGACACCCCCCACACGCATGCTAAACCACCCCGGTGCGAATAACCCAAGTGACTGGGGATTGTATTGATAGGGTGTAATGTGGAGACAGTTGGTTAATTGGCGGTGTATTGTAATCAGATTAAGAATGGCACAAACGGCGTGATTGAGTGGAGGTCATTGTTATGATGCCCGCCCGCCCCACACACACAGAATTTGGATAATTCACTCCTTTTGTCTGTTGCCAACTCGGGGTGGTGATGTCAGGAAAGGTAAAGGTATTATAGGATTGAGACCTTTAGATCAGGGATCATCAACTAGATTCAGCCGCGGGAATATTTTGTATTGAGTGCATGGTCAGGGGGCAGGAACATAATTACAAATCATTTGTAGACTGCAAATTGACCACAAGACGCCCAAACAGATATAACATTTCACTAAAACATCATCATTTCAAACCTTGCTTACATTTGTATATGATCACATACCCTACATGACCAAAAGTATGTGGACACCTGCTCGTCAAACATCTCATTCCAAAATCATGGGCATTAATATGGAGTTGGTCCCCCCTTTGTTGCTATAACCGCCTCCACTCTTCTGGGAAGACTTTCCACTAGATTTTGAAACATTGCTGCGGGGACTTGCTTCCATTCAGCCACAAAAGCATTAGTGAGGTCGGGCACTGATGTTGGGCGATTAGGCCTTGCTCGCAGTCAGCGATGGGGTTGAGGTCAGAGCTCTGTGCAGGCCAGTCAAGTTCTTCCACACCGATTTCAACAAACCATTTTTCTATGATTTCCTTTCATTGGAACTAAGGGGCCTAGCCCGAACCATGAAAAACAGCCCCAGACCATTATTCCTCCTCCACCAAACTTTACAGTTGGCACTATGCATTGGGCAGGTAGCGTTCTCCTGGCATCCACCAAACACAGATTCGTCCGTCGCACTGCCAGATGGTGAAGCGTGATTCATCACTCCAGAAAACACGTTTCAACTGCTCCAGAGTCCAATGGCAGCAAGCTTTACACCACGCCAGCCGACGCTTGACATTGCGCATGGTGATCTTAGGCTTGAAGCTCCCGAAGAACAGTTATTTTGCTGACATTGCTTCCAGAGGCAGTTTGGAACTCGGTAGTGAGTGTTGCAACCGAGGACAGACGATTTTTACACGCTACGCAGTTGAACACTCGCCGGTCCTGTTCTGTGAGCTTGTGTGGCCTACCACTTCGCGGCTGAGCCGTTGTTGCTCCTAGACGTTTCCAGTTCACAATAACAGCACTTACAGTTGACCGGGGCAGCTCTAACAGGGCTGAAATTTGACGAATTGACTTGTTGGAAAGGTGGCATCCTATGACGGTGTCACGTTGAAAGTCACTGAGCTCTTCAGTAAGGCCATTCTACTGCCAATGTATGAAGATTGCATGGCTGTGTGCTCGATTTTATACACCTGTCAGGAACGGGTGTGGCTGAAATAGCTGAATCCACTAATTTGAAGGGGTGTCCACATACTTTTGTATATATAGTGTATATCTCTCTATTATGCATAGGAATACTAAAGAACAGATTTCCCAAATTAAAATCACTTGGAGCTGATTTGCTGGTGTTTTTAGTCCAACAATAATTTTGATTGGTTCTGAAAACAGTTTGGGATCCCTGATTTAGATTAACTTGAATTTAACTCCTTTCCGTGCTCAATGGGAATAGTAGACTCTTGTGTGCTATTTGGTGGTTTGTCGATAACGGTGAAGAAATGTATCATGTTCTTTTGATTGTAAAGCCTTTGAACGATTTTGACAGTGGTTGTGTTGATGTTGTTGTTGAAACGTTCTGGAGTCTTTATCTGGCTTTATATGTACAGATATGCACACATTTATCATACTCTTTCAGTTGTTCGTTTTAGCCTTTTATGTTAGCTGAGCTTTCACAGTGATTGTGTGTATGTTGTTGTAATGTTGCAGTGTTGTTCTCCAGAGGGGTATACTACAAAGCCGGATCAATGAGATAGCCAGCTAACTTGCCTAAATATTCTGAAATAACAAATGTTTTTATAAAGATAAGGTGAAATGTCTAATTGACTCAAAAACCAAAAACACACACTTAAGTTTTACCTTCTTAATGAACCAGAAAATCAATAGTTATTTCTGGTTGTTTATCAAAGTTATCTGGCTAACTCATTGATTCTGTTTTGTAGTCTACCCCTCTGGTGGTTAGTTGTGTCAATGTTGGTTGTTGTAACGTTGTGGTGTTCTCCAGATCTCCAGGTGCCGGTGACGGAACCAGACATCAACAACCGGCTGGAGTCTCTGTGCCTGAGTATGACAGAGCATGCCCTGGGAGGTAAAAGCATCACAACTACCATGACAACTACCATGAACACACACACTCCAGTTACTACTGGACTTTATTGTCAATGCGCACACACACACACACACTACTGTATCAATCTACTGTACCCCTTGGTATATACCCACGTGCGCTTGCACACACACACACACACACACAAACACACAGATTCACACACACTTTCTCTGTCGCTCTTTCTCTCACACACAAACACACACACACTCCCTCACTAAACTCCAGTCCTGTACTACATTGTCTACACAGCATATAAACATGCACAGAAAAAAAACAGACACAACTTTGGAATTCCATCTACCCAGAAACTGTTCAAGTGACAAATATGTCACGGTTGAGTCAGAGTTGCCAAGTCATTGGAAACATTTGTATATCTTGCCAGAATGTAACCGAAATAATACAAACGAATGAAGACCGCAACATACAGTGAATACATCCAGAGACTGAACTCCCCAAAGACGATGGCTTGCCTGGAGCCAGACCTGGGTTCATATACTATTCAAAATTATTTGAAATGCATTAGCTGTGCTTGATTGAACTTGCCTGTTGCAATTGAACCAATGGAAATGTCCCAAGAGTGCAGACCCTGCCCACCCAGGCTAAAGTGAACGCTTAAAGTATTTGAATGATTTCAAATAATATTTGAACCCACATTTGCCTGTAGCCAGGGTGTGACTCCACAATGAATCCACACGTATTGCGAGGAGAGGAGGAGACGAGACGGGAGGGGAAGGGAGCTGGATAAACGCAGTAACCATTCCCATTATAAATGGAGTTTTTTCTCTCGGTGCTCGGCGCGGAGCTGGGGTGGACAAGCACCGCTTTGTGTGTGCATTTGTGCGTGAACTGGACACCATACACACACACACACACAGTCCCAGAGCAGAGGTGGGTAGCTGAGGAATGCCAGTCCCAGACAGGACCCTTCCTCTCTGCTGTGCCCCTTCTCCTCTCTCTCGCTCTGAAACCTACTGAATCGACAAAATAGAAATTAGAACCAAAGTACTCATCGTGAATGGAATGCCCCCGAGCCCTTATTTACAAATAGTAGTACATTTTGTCCGATAGAAAGCTTGGACATGCTCAAACACAGCAATACGACGTCCAGCTCTAATAATGATCAAACTCTCTCTCCTCTTTTGAACAATTTGACAAAGTTGCCAAGTCATTTCCCTAATTGGCATGCTTCCAGCCCCTAAACTTCTAGGCAGTTCTGTAGATCTGAAAGGATTGGAGATCCAATACGGTGAAATGTTCATCTAGCCCATCAGAGGGAAAGGTGGAGTTATTAGCATGTTGCTAACTTGCGCCGGGCGTAAAGGCTAGGAGGGCATTTGAAACTGTGCCCTATATACAGTGGGGAGAACAAGTATTTGATACACTACCGATTTTGCAGGTTTTCCTACTTACAAAGCATGTAGAGGTCTGTAATTTTTATGATAGGTACACTTCAACTGTGAGAGACGGAATCTAAAAAAAATCCAGAAAATCACATTGTATGATTTTTAAGTAATTAATTTGCATTTTATTGCATGACATAAGTATTTGATACATCAGAAAAGCAGAACTTAATATTTGGTACAGAAACCTTTGTTTGCAATTACAGAGATCATATTATTCCTGTAGGTCTTGACCAGGTTTGCACACACTGCAACAGGGATTTTGGCCCACTCCTCCATACAGACCTTCTCCAGATTTCGGGGCTGTTGCTGGGCAATACGGACTATCAGCTCCCTCCAAAGATTTTCTATTGGGTTCAGGTCTGGAGACTGGCTCGGCCACTCCAGGACCTTGAGATGCTTCTTACGGAGCCACTCCTTAGTTGCCCTGGCTGTGTGTTTCAGGTCGTTGTCATGCTGGAAGACCCAGCCACAACCCATCTTCAATGCTCTTACTGAGGGAAGGAGGTTGTTGGCCAAGATCTCGCGATACATGGCCCCATCCATCCTCCCCTCAATACGGTGCAGTCGTCCTGTCCCCTTTGCAGAAAAGCATCCCCAAAGAATGATGTTTCCACCTCCATGCTTCACGGTTGGGATGGTGTTCTTGGGGTTGTACTCATCCTTCTTCTTCCTCCAAACACGGCGAGTGGAGTTTAGACCAAAAAGCTCTATTTTTGTCTCATCAGACCACATGACCTTCTCCCATTCCACCTCTGGATCATCCAGATGGTCATTGGCAAACTTCAGATGGGCCTGGACATGCGCTGGCTTGAGCTGGGGGACCTTGCGTGCGCTGCAGGATTTTAATTCATGACGGCGTAGTGTGTTACTAATGGTTTTCTTTGAGAATGTCGTCCCAGCTCTCTTCAGGTCATTGACCAGGTCCTGCCGTGTAGTTCTGGGCTGATCCCTCACCTTCCTCATGATCATTGATGCCCCACGAGGTGAGATCTTGCATGGAGCCCCAGACCGAGGGTGATTGACCATCATCTTGAACTTCTTCTATTTTCTAATAATTGCGCCAACAGTTGTTGCCTTCTCACCAAGCTGCTTGCCTATTGTCCTGTAGCCCATCCCAGCCTTGTGCAGGTCTACAATTTTATCCCTGATGTCTTTACACAGCTCTCTGGTCTTGGCCATTGTGGAGAGGTTGGAGTCTGTTTGATTGAGTGTGTGGACAGGTGTCTTTTATACAGGTAACGAGTTCAAACAGGTGCAGTTAATACAGGTAATGAGTGGAGAACAGGAGGGCTTCTTAAAGAAAAACTAACAGGTCTGTGAGAGCCGGAATTCTTACTGGTTGGTAGGTGATCAAATACTTATGTCATGCAATAAAATGCAAATTAATTACTTAAAAATCATACAATGTGATTTTCTGGATTTTTGTTTTAGATTCCGTATCTCACAGTTGAAGTGTACCTATGATAAATATTACAGACCTCTACATGCTTTGTAAGTAGGAAAACCTGCAAAATTGGCAGTGTATCAAATACTTGTTCTCCCCACTGTATATATATGACTCTAATGGAAACCTATTCCCTTTATAGTGCACTACTTCTGACCAGTGTAGTGTACTATATAGGGAATAGGGTGCCATTTGGGATGCAACCCATGTCATGAGACCCTCGGCCACACACAGGAACTCCAGTAATAGTAAATCTTTATGAAACCCCTTGTATGTAATGCACCCTGTTCATAGGTTGCATTATAATACATCGGGCTTTAGAAATGCACTATATAAATCCTAAGACAGCAAAGAAATTCCATCATGGGTCTCTAACCTCCCCCAATGACTGCCTCCGGTTTCTGGTACTGCTGGTTACACACACACGCACACACACCACACATTTGCCGTGTAGAAACACATCTAATTTAGCACGTATACCCAGCTTGACCAGTGCAACAGCAAAGCACATACCTCAGATGAATGTAGTAATGCAGGGTTTTAAGCTGACTCATTGCTCACTCTGTCTGAACCACTGCGGCTGTGTCCCAAATGGAACCCTATTGCCTTTATAGTGCACTACTTTTGACCAATGCCCAGGGCCCATAGGGTCTGGTCAAAAGTAGTGCACTCTGTAGGGGATAGGGTGCCATTTGGGACACAATCCCGGGACAAACATTTGGTCCTCTCTGTTTGTCCAGCCAGGCCAGATGCAACAGTTGTTTTTTTGGCTTTGAAACATTCCATCTGTATTTGTCCAGTTGTGTTATTCTCATTCCTATGTGATGGTTTGTCCCATGTCCCTCGATTCTGTGTGTCTAGATGGAGTCGACCGCACATCCACCATCTGAGAGGAGGACCTGAAGGAGACCAGGAGAGACTGAGCTGGTCCCAAGAGGCTCGCCGCGCACCCAGTCTTTCCCTTCGCCCCCCACACCACCTGCCCATCAGGCGCCCCCACAGCCATTGGGAGAGGTCAACCGGGGGGGTGGGCGAGCTCCAAATCACGCCACGATGAGCCAATCCGTGAAAAACTGCTAACACAGCAGCAAATTGGCATGTTACCATCTCGACTAAACACAGCTACCCCCCAGCACCCTCATAAGTATCTGGGCTTCAGTGGCGGATGAGAAAGGCAGTACAGACTCCTCTCCCCACAGTGTTGCACCCAGTATAACTACCCACAACAGTGCCTGAGGAGTACACTCTGCTGGGCTGTGGGAGATATACTGTAGCATCACTGGGGTCGGCATCAGCCATCAACCGAATGGCCCTGGGCCCTGTTGAAAGGGGTGGTTGTGCATTATGGGTACTGTAGTACATCATGCTACAGAGTTCCGGACTCTGTTCTCTTCTCTACCCTCACCCCCAGTCCCAGTTAAAGACCAGTAACAGAATTCCCACACCAGTTCACACCAGTCAGCATTTCTACCGGTGTCACAGAGCCAAAAACAAACAAAAAAGCCAAGTAAACAAACAAACAAACAATTTGGGACACTTTGTGAGAGAAGCCTTGGCTTGTCCTCCCCACTGTTTGGGAGAGTTTTAGGGAGGACATTTTTCAAAAGGCTTTGGGAGAACCCTATGCTCTGTATAGGTGACAGAAAAAAAGCATTTATACATGTATGTATTGTTTACATAAGATGCTACTATCAAGGGTACCGAAACATTTATACATTTCAGCTATGAATGTTATCTCTTGAATATATTTTTCAAACTTTTTGGAAAGCAGTGGCATACTTCCGTACTAGTCGCTTAATAGACTAACGTCCCACAGTAGCTATCATAGTTTACAACTGACTTATCCATTGTTAGTTTTTTTTTGCTTTTTGTTCCTTTTACCAGGAGCCAAACTGTGTGAAAATGAAAACGCTAAAAAGAGAGAGGGATGCGGCAGAGGTGTGTAGAAGGAAAAGAGATGGGAGGAGGGGAAATGAAAGTGGAGAAACACAGGATGGTCTCTGCCAAGTGATTTGGAAGGAGAAGAGGACGTTACCGATGATGGATTCAAGTCAGGCGCAGGGACTTTGATTTGAAACAAGACAGAGGGAAATAGCCTAGCAGAGTTGTGGTAAAGTTCTGGGTAAATTCATGTTATACACAGGCCAATTACATAGAATTGCATATATTAGCCTTTGTACCTACAGACTATGCATTGAAAGTTGCTGTTCGTTTGCTTGGGCTTTGTCTGGAGCGAAGTTCCTGTATCAGGTGCACGATGTCGTGTGACCTAGTCTCTAATTAGGGCTAGTCAGTGTGGGTCAGGAGTATATTTAGTATATATAGTATATTCAATGGGTCTTGTTGTGAAATTGAATGAGGATTACGTGTTTGTTTTCAGTCCAGGGTAGATGATATAGTGCTGCATGTTGTATGCTATATGCTCCCAATCTTACTAGGAAGTAAGAGACGGTCAAAGATGTTCTGAATCGAGGAGGAAGGAGAGAATGCTAACCAGTGATGTACACAGAGGACAGGAGAATCAGGAAGTAGTCATAGTGGATGTAAATGAGAAGGTTGCTGAGGAGGATTCCTTTCTCTCAAGCAGCATAGCAAAGTAGTTTTACTCCCCGAGATTGCTCTCTTTTTAGTACTTACCTCCACCTGGTGGCCAAAAGCAGTTAGAGACAACCAGGCACTTTGACCATCTGTTGATTTGAATTGGAATTAGGATTTTTGTACATTAATTTCTTGTTGTTTTTTTGTCTTAATATTTATCCTCTGTTTATTGTTGTCTGCATGACAGACTGTAAGGGTAGGTTCATGTTAAAATAAGCTCTTAAAAGTTTAGTTATAACAGTTTGGCTCTGTTATTAGCCGTTGTATCACTTTCATAAGTGGGGTTTTTGCGCATGGAAGGTCACGCTGAAGTTTTATGCCTGAATGGGCATCCTGGTTGGTTTTTCCCAAGTTGGAATCAATTTGGAGCGATTCAAAATGGTGTTTTGTGAGGGTTATTGATATTTTGTTCGTTTTTTATTCTTAAAAAGTGTCTTGTTTTCTTGTTCTGCACTTGGTGCCGGGATATTTTACTACAGCTAATCCATCAATAACAATGCCAATAGGTGCAGCAATAGAAATGTCAAGTATGTGCAATATACCTTTTATCAGTGGGGAGAGAAGCAAAGGGTTTGGAAAGGAAAAGTTAGGGGTTTTGCAGTTCAGAGAATGAGACTTGACTTATTGTGGAGGTGAACTCGAGTAGTGAGATGAAACCAGCTTCATGCCAAATGCACCCTTTCTCGGTGGTGGAGAACACCCCTTTCTCTGCCACAATAACTACAGCCCACTCCCCTAGTGCACATTGAACTGAAGCTCTTGGACTGAACCATATTGTCATAAGGTAGGGTTGACAACTGACAACCTAACCCAGTCTAACCTGTTATTGACAAAATGTCACTGATACCTGTAGTGACTTTTCAGAGTCAGCCAAACGTCACTGCTTCAGGAAGTGCGCTCACTAAACACGCATGGCCTTAACTGTGACGGTGAATCGTGCATAAAGCATGAATTGGCATGGACCCTTTTGTGGCATGGCTTGGCAAATATTTAGTGGCAGTATACAGTATGTATTGTTACACGATGCAACGTGCATCAGTGTATACACAGTACATGGGAGTTAGAGCCACTTGTCACTGCCATATGAATCAATATTATTAGCAGATTCAAATCATTATTTATTTTCTATTTTTTTCTATTACTGTTGCAGAGTTGATTATTGTATTCATTTAGATGTATTATTTAAAGTACCATATGTATTAACTTACTATGGCTGGTGACCATAAGTACATCTCAAATAATAACATAGTTATTTTTGTTTTGAACTACATTATAATCGCAAATTTTTGTTTTTGATAGTGGAGGAAAGAGCCACTACCGTGTCTTCTTGGGAATTGTGTGTTTTTTCTGACGCTTTGTGAATGCTTATTATATCCTGGTTGGCCAAATGACTGAATACTGTATGTGCTCTTTTATAGAAATGTTACCCCTCGATGCCCTGTTTTTGATCGCAAAGTTCACTTTTTGATCCAGCCACCAGCAAAACAAACTGGATAGAGGGTGACAACCCTTTTGAAACATTGCCAAATAGTACAGGCCACGTTAACTCTTGATAGACTGAAATGAAGAGTCATCTGGGGTTATTTGTGTGGGATAAGGCCCTTCCTACTTTGTCAGCTATTAGACTTTGGCTGTGAGCATTGAAGGTCCAGGGCTTGCCATATGGGAATGGTCAACCAGTGCCTACCAAGCTAACCACCACCTGCGTGGTTATTGATGACATCACAGTGGAAGGCTAAGCTAAGTAGCCCATTCATAAGACTAGCAACAACTGCAGGGCAGAGGATCGAGCATGCTAGGGTGGGATGTACACTACTGTATGTGCCTATGAGGCAGTAAACAGAGGCGGTAAATAGAAGGGTCATCAATGTCGTTCATATATTACTGCAGCCATGTGTGAGAAGTAGCCGGATGAGGAGTGGATCAGACTTTGACTCCTCCGGAAGCTGCTCAAAGGGTTTATTTTTTTATTTTCCAAAGTGCATCCAAACTCTATAGGGCTCCACCCCCCCCCCCCCCCCCCCCTTCTGAGATGAGAGAGAGCCGCTGTACACACTGCAGTATTAACAGTTAGATGATAACCTTGATATTCCAAATATATTCTTATTTGTGATTTTAGTGTAAATGAAGACTTTTGATGCTTCTTTTTTTTTACTCATTTTTTTTGGTGATAGACTCTGTTTATTAGTTAAATATTGCTTAATTATTTGATAGCGAGACATTCTTTTTTTTTTTGCAAACTCGAAAGCATCCATACTGTAACAAAAGTTATACCGCGTTACTGTGCTCTTTATTTGTTTTTGTTTTTTTGTTATCAAAGAGCCAATGTCCTGTATTGACTGCAGGCTTACATATATATTTAAAAAATAATAATGTTTATGTTTAAGAATAAAAACTCAAAAGCCCCCCCAAAAAACACAAGAAAATAAAAATAAAGAGTGGGGGGGGGGGAGTAATTTTAGAAATGCATGCATAAGGCTGGGAAGTCATATTTTGAATAACAAATGGCAGTGCCTTTTTTGTACTCGAGACATTTGCCCCAAATGTAAATGATTTTATATGGACTTTAGAAAACTGTAATAATATTACATGAAGCAACCCAGTTAGAGCTGTGTTGACAGTTAAAATGGTGGCATCCTCCAAACTGAATTCAAGCTCCATTTTGAAACTTGTCTTGTTGGTGTCGCGTTTTCAGACAAAAACAATATGGAACACTTGTCTTCTTCTGGCTGGCCTTGTGTTGTCAGCATATTTTTTTGTTTCTGTACTCCGTAGGTACTTTTCAATGCTGATATGAAGTTAGGAATTGTACCTGTCTATACAACAAACAGATGTACAGTATATGTTGTGTGTGTGAGAAAGAGAGTGTGTGTGTGTTATGCTGTAACTGTAAAATACGTCTTCTCAAATGTACCAGAAATGCTGCGACATGGCATGGCCCGATCCAATGGAGGCTGTTGTTATTTGGGCTGATACCTGGCCAAAAGCCTGTCTCAGGTTCTGTGTTCCTGTAACTAGGTTACTTGCGTCGGGCAGGGTTTGGGTTTGGCAAGTGATGCTCATCTGTCCTGTTCTACATGGATCTATGGAGACTCCTCTGTGTAAATGTATGTGCGTGTTTGTTTTTGTCAGAATGGGAGAGTGGTTGCCATGTAGTCAGAATGGGAGAGCTGTTAACTGTGTGAGTGAAAGATCCTTAATGAGTCGACTGAATGTTTTGTTTTGTGGGGTCTGTGTTGAAATGCTTGACGTCTTTGTGATAACCACAGACAAAAAAAAAAGTATTAAAGAATAACTAGTAAAATTGTCTGTGGATTTCATAATTTTTTCTAATGAAAGCACATTCATATAACCTGTTGCCAATAGACGGGTTCCAGTCTTGTTTCACAACACCAGGTAAAAAAGCTGAATCATTCTCAAAAATAAATCCCTGCCCCTCCATGTTGTAGTTCCAAAGCAAGTGAACACAATGTTCAGTTATCTGAAATCACAGAGTTGTTCTCTGGGTGTTTTATGCTGCATTCTTAACCAAATGGGAGGTGGGAATTTACTAGTTGGATGCAGATGCGTGCTTTGAACCCGTTGAGAAACGCTGATTGGCTAATGGCCAACAAGCTGTGTAAACCATAAACTAAGGGCTCTATTCAATCAGATCCACTTTAACCGACATCTGCATAGCGGTTGTTTTGACAGTGTCTGAGTGGGAACTGAGAATTAGTGTTCAAAAACCATATGAATATACTGAACCAAAATATAAATGCAACATGCAACAATTTCAACGAGTTACAGTTCATATAAGGAACTCAAGTCAATTGAAATAAATAAATTAGGCCCTAATATTTCACATGACAGGGCAGGGTCGCAGCCATGGGTGGACCTGGGAGGGCATAGGTCCAACCACTTGGGAGCCAGGCCCACCCGCTGCGGAGCCAGGCCCAGCCAATCAGAATGAGTTTTTTCCCACAAAAGGGCTTTATTACAGACAGAAATAGACCTCATGCTGTTTAATCAGCTTCTTGATATCCCACACCTGTCAGGTGGATGGATTATCTTAAAGGATAAATGCTCATTAACAGGGATGTAAACAAATGTGTGCACAAAATCTGAGAGAAATAAGCTTTTTGTGCATATGGAACATTTCTGGGATCTTTTATTTCAGCTCATGAAATATGGGACCAACACTTTACATGTTGCATTTATATTTTTGTTCAGTATATAGATTGCTTTTCATAAATGTTTTGTTGCATTTAACTGCCGAAAATGGCGTTAGAGGTAATTTCCTTAGTAGGTGATGACAGAGGTCACCATGTGGGACCTCAGGATGATAGACGAGTTCCCCACTAGTAATTATCAGTTGGATGTCCGTTCAAGTGGATTTTTCCCAGTCGTATGTTGTAAATTCCCACTTGGTTACGAACACAGCATTAAGCACCGGTTGTAACGATCTCGGTTGGACAGACGCTGGGAGACGGGAAGCAAGTACAGGGTGATGATTTAATAAATAAAAGACATGGAACAAAACACGGACAGCGTCTGGTCAGGGGAAACGAAACAACATCAATGCAGACACGGGGATCAAACTGGGGAACAGACAGATACAGAAGGGGCAATCAACAAAGTGAAGGAGTCCGGGTGAGTCCAATGAGCGCTGATGCGCGTAATGATGGTAACAGGTATGCGTAATGATGGGCAGCCTGGCGCCCTTGAGCGCCAGGGAGGGGGAGCGGGAGCAGGCGTGACAGTACCCCTTCCCTCTAGAGACGCCATCCGGCCTCCCACCTGAGCGAGCCTGACGAGCCAGCCGAGGCGTGGGAGCCTGACGAGCCGGCTGAGGCATGATGTGGGATGGGAGCCTGCCGAGCCAACCGAGGCAAGGAAACCTCTCGAGCAGGCTGAGGCATGGGATGTGAGCCTGATGAACCGGCTGAGGCATGGAAGCCCGACGAGCCAGCTGAGGCACCCCCGGTTCCTTCGGCCGCGGCACCCGGAACAGATGTCACCAACAAAAAAAAACAACAAAAAAAAAACGTCCTGATGCTTCCAATATTGGTGTCTGCATTCTGTAACGATCTCAGTTCGACAGACGGTGAGAGACAGGACGCAAGTACAGGGTGATGATTTCATAAATAAAAGACATGGAACAAAACACGGACAGCGCCAGGGAGCGGGAGCAGGAGCAGGCGTGACACCGGTTATATTATGCTAGCATCCTGGGATCACAATCAGTTATTTTAATAATTTAGACCCGTCTAAAAATGTGGGCCCAATCAGAATGTGGACAAGATCAGGACAGGCATGTTAGCACCAGGTATAAACAGGGCTTTACAAAGAACAGCACAGTACCCAGGTTCATAGTTCTCACATACAGATTTATTTTCCTTTGTTGAAAACTCTTTCAAATGAACACAGTAAGAAGTGTAATGAAAACGACAGTAGTGAAGAACCCAAAGAACAGATCCTCCTAAAGAAGGTCACAGAGACGATGCAGGAGCTGTCTGACTGACAATAGCGCTCATCTTCTCCAACCCCCGACACACACTCACACCGAACCCCAATGACCAAATCACATTGGTTAAAACCTCCCCATTTAAATCTTAGAGTATTATATATTTCCAATAAATGTAAAAATACACCGCTCGTCAGCATATATGTTCTTTGCTACTATACCTATTTACCCTAACATCATTTTCATATAGGTTACTCTATTTTAATATCCCTAATTTGCTGAGATAATACATGAAATTGGAAATACTGCAGAGAATGCACTCAGACGTCATATGCAGATAATGCATACATACAATATACGTGACGTAGCAAAGAGGGATGTACTGTAAAGTGCAGCATATTTTTTACATTTAAAAAGGTAACAACAATTCTGAAGCATTCATACACCGAAATACAAAGATATTTAGAAGTGTAACAGAATTGACATTAGAAGGGTAAGAGAGTAAAACGGGTTTCTTTACCAAGAGATGAGGGGAGACAGCTGATTCCTTTGCCTCTAGTCTCTTCAAATTCATCAGTCGGAAGTGAACTCTATGTATCACGCGAAAAATCAGAAAGGCTGCTCGCAAATAGAGAGGTCAGCAGAATATATACTGGGCTGGCCATCAACGCACGTACACAAATACCCACACACATAGGCCTACACGACTTACAGATTGATATAAAGTGGTGCCCATTAGAAATCCTCTCTGAATGGTGAAATGCCCGCTTGGGGGATACAGAGAAAGCAGACTATATCAGCCACACGTTTGTGAATCTGAACTATTTGCACTATTGTGACATTTTCAACAAATAACTACAATAGTGTGAGACTATTAGAGAATAATGTAGGGTGTCCATATTAAGACAGCCTCTGACATCAACTCCTTGTGACTCTGAGGCTCCTAATATGGACACTTTTTAGTCCCATCTGATCATCCTTCATTGCACTATCCAGTTATCATCCAGTCACTTTAACTGCACCCTTAGAAACGTTCGTCCTTTAGTTATAGAAAAAATGCTAAACTAACAGCGACATTACCTCACATCATTTGAACACCACAGTTAACATATTCAGTAACCCTTAGAAAGCCATCGTTGGTTCCCCGAAGTTGCAGGGTGGAGTATACTGTTTTTAAAGCGGTAGCTAGCAAATTTGAAAGCGAGCATTTTGCTCTCCTACCTTTACTAGTTAAAGATAATTACAGTAGACCGGGACTGAGCCTTGTAATAGGCTGACAGATTTACCAAAATGTTGATTGTTTGACGAATGGGTTTGAAGCATTTGGCTTGAGCAGGAATACGATGCCATGTGAAAAGGGCACTTGGCACTTTTGAATAGGTTTGGCTCAAGGCAAGTTTAAATGAATACCATTAGTAAAACTGATATATGGTCTTACTGGGCCTAGCTGTGGATAAAGATATCTTGCAAAAATATATCAGGAAAAAAGTAAAGAATAAAACAACTTTTCTAAAACGTTGATTTTAATGTTAGGATGTTTCTACGTAGGTGTAAGTATCTTTACCGAGGGGGTGGAGGGATTGACACAAACACACAACTCACACACACCCTGCAAGCCCGGACTCTAGGCTTCGTACCGAGACTGCTGTGTGGACGATTCTAGCTCCAGGCAGGCGACCGGGAGAGGGGTTTGCGCTGGGCTGGGCTGGGCAGCAGGTTTGTGGGCCAGCCGTCCCTCTCAGCTCCTGATTAGGGTGAGGAACTCGTCCCGTGTCTTGGGGTCCTCCCGGAACACCCCCAGCATGGTGCTGGTCACAGTTTTGCTGTTCATCTTCTGCACCCCCCTCATCACCATGCACATGTGACTGTATGCAGGAAGAAGGGAGGAAAAAAGCATCATTTCCATTACTGTTATAGTTATTAGATTTGGGTGTATGGGAAATGTTCTGTTAATGACGCATTGAAGATTGTCTATATATGGCCTCTCCCCATATCTTTGGTTTCATTTGTGCGTGTTTGTTTTTTTGACTGCCGTGATTGCGTCATATATAAAAAAGCCATTAAGGTACTTTTACCTGTGGGGGTACACCTAAATGGACAGAAATATTGTCCAGAAACTACCTCATTGAACGGAATGGCCACAGCTTGTTAGCAAAAGCAAATTGTTTTCCTAAGGATTTGTGAGATAAGAAATGTATTAATATTAATGTATGTGTATGCACCATCCAGCCAACATTCCAGAAAAAAATTGACAAACGATTAGAAACTAAAATGCCATAGTGTATCTTTAATGTCTGTCTGTATGGGGCTGTTAATATCAGTGGTGAGTGTAAAAACAAAAAAGGGAAAAAGAGACATACGTTGCCTCAATGACGACGCCCACCCCAGCAGGCTGCAGCGCTTCAGTGATTGCCACGGCGATTTTTTTGGTCAACCGCTCTTGAACTGAAAGAGAACACAGATAAACAAGGTCCAAGTCAGAGAAAGTCAAAGAGCAAAGTCAAACGTCTGACATAATCGCCCGTGACATAGTAGGTTCTAGGTTCCAACAACAACACTGTTATCAGTCAACCAACTGACAATCTCCAAGAATTATTCGAATTTTAATGGAATTACTCAAATATGTCGTTACTGTAGTAATTCCAGTGTAAGTGTACGGGTATAAGAACAACTTAATGTAAAGTGTTACCTAAAACAACAATAAAAATACATAAATACAGAAAAGCTCTAGGGGCACCTCACTTTATTGTCCGTCAACTCTTGAGAGTATAAATTGATTATTAAAACGTCTGGAAGTACCTTGCAGTCGACGGCTGTAGATTTCAACAATCCTGGGGAGAGATGAGGGGAAAAGACAGGGGGGAAAATACTTCCATTACATGGGAAAACCCAAGTGGCAGGATTTACAGTGAGCGGCACAGAGAGGCATTGACAAAGAGGGATTACACATTCTTCAGGGACAGAGTGGAGACTTGAGAGAGACATGGGAGCTCTTCACAACAGAGGTCACATTTTACAGTGTCAGTCAAATAGGTTGTTTTGTATAGGTTCGGACCGGTTAAAGTTTCTAAGAGATTACGTCTTTACAGGTGGTTTGGTATGCTGTTGTAATTTGTGTGTTTAAAGAGCATACAGTCAAATCCATCACAGCAATGATTATTCAGAATTTGTGCATACACGATGACTTTGTGAAATTGGATGATCTATCTATAATAGGAGTTTATCTGCTACAGTGTTTGTTCAGAACCCATATTCTTCAGAACCCATATTTTTCAGAACCGATAATAACTTTGTGATTTTTTATTTATATTGTGTTAAAAACGGTTATTTACATTTTATTGAGAACATTCTGCAATTAGTATTTGATTTAAATAAGCCCCAAGTCAACATTCAACACCACATCCCCTATCTACCCTCTCTTTCTGGTGCTTTTCTAGGAGACCGTGTGGTATTCTGTGGCAAGTAAGCAGGTCTCCATCAAACCTTTTTATAAAGGAGGCCTACAAAATGTAAAATATAAAGAATGTCACGACAGGCCTGTCGGTAAACTTTCCAAATGTCGACAAAACAAAATAGACAAGGTGGGATCTTTTTGTGTCTGTACAATTATATTTATGAGCAAATATTGATATAATAACCATCATATCGAAGTAAACCTGGAGTTACGAGATGATATGTTTGTGTGGTCCTCATACTATGACTCAGGAAAATATGCAGTTTATTAGGCTACAGATGAAATACTTCACTGGGGGTTGAAAGTGCACAGTGATGAGCTTGATGCTCCTTTCCAATAAATATCAAGGGTCTTATTCTGGTAACATGATGATTGAGGCTTGGCTGCCGTTTGACAAATACAAATAATCCATTTTGTCCATAATAATCTCATCATGTAGGCTATATCTGCACTATATCTGTGGTGAAGCTGTTGGCTGGAGCGCACATGCCAAGACCAGAGTGGGCACAAAATCAGTAGAGTACCGAATATATTAGATTTTTTATTTATAGGAATTTAACAGCAACAGTTATTATTATAATTTTTTTGATTTTAGTCATTCACTTTTTATACTTTTTCCCTTTTATGTGCACTATGTCATCACACACAACCTTTTATGTGCACTATGTCATCACACACAACCTTTTATCTGCAACTTGATGGAATTTGATGGAAACATCTCTGGTGGGAAAATGCACATATTGCTTTTATGCAGATTGTTTTAATATTTGCATGGAAATCTGTCACCAATTGGATCGGAACTTAGCTACTGACACTGACAACCAGTTGCAAGTTCCAACCGCCTGTGAGTCAACGTGAGTAGGAGAGCGGCGGGTCACGCTAGCCTCGTCATAGTCTGACATCCCTTCCCCTTTGACCCAATGCTCTTTTCCAAACATGACCTCTCCTATCGCTGCAGCTCCGTCACTCCGCGCAGCAAAATGCCACAGAACAAGAGGATTACGAAGACTTTCAAATAGGCGGATGCATCGATATGAAGGTATAAAGGTGTTGCATCCATCTCAAAGAAGCTAATTTGTTTTTTTGGGGATGCAACTCTGAGTTCACTTCATAGAGGCCTATACCTCAAGTGTACTCTACAAAATAAAAGTATTGCAGGTGTAGGACAGCCCAGCCCCAACGTGACTCTTTACAATGTATGCAATAAGTCCCTTGGTGTTGTCTTAGGAAGTCAATCTTCTCTGCATGATCTCACCAACCCCCTCTTGTCTCACCTCTGAGAAGCAGAGGTTCTGCTGTCTTTATACCCTGTAGGTCTGACATCTGATTAGAAGTTAACTCAACAGTAATTCTATTGGCCAACTACTCAGATGTTATAAAGGGGTCTCAGATTCATTGTCTCTTTCTCTTTTTTTGTTCCAGACCTGCGCTGGTGAGATACACTGTCTCTTTCTTTCTCTCTCCACCCCAGGGACTTGGGGCATGGCCTTTCAGGCTATGACTTACTGTATCTCTCTCTCGCCCTCTCTGATCATGCCTAGAATAATGCTTTGTAATGCTTGTTAATGCTTTGTAACTTAAGCTTTATGCCTTGTATGTGATTTCAGTCATTTTACAAAGTAATTAAATACACTTGTATTTAGAATTTCATTCTCAGACATTTCTTGATTACCTATTACTATAACTCAACTTTAGTCTCTTGCATATTGCTAAATAATCTTTATGGAGTCAGATAAACATTTTAATAGGCTAATTACATAGTCTTATTAAAATCTATTTTTTTCACATTTCAAAGCTTTCAATACATTCTCTATGGGTGTCTGTGTGCATGCACTTACGCGCTTTCGTCATACGTGACGTAACGTTGAACGTAACTAAGACAATGGCGGCTACCAGCGTCTATGTTGCGACCTGCAGTGTGGCGTTATTTTATGTTTTTAATTTGTAGACTTAGTTTACAAACATTCTGCAAACATTCTGCTTTGGACTGATTTTCGGCTTTGGACTGATCTTGTTGATCGTGTACATACCCGCTACGAACGGACTAAATAATGAAAACGCTGCTGGCAGCAAAATCCCAATACAGCTGGGAGACTTGACTGGATGACAGAGTCCCGGACAGAGAGGTGGAGCCGGCCAACTTCACCCTGGTCAGAGCGGACCGCGATCCTGGTAAGAGAGCGACTCTGTACCCCGACATTGAACTGCTTTCTGTGTCATTGAACCTTACTATTGTTGATAAAACAAGTTTACTGGAGAACGGAGAAAAAGTAGAGACTTTTGGACAAGGTGGATAATTGTATAATATAAGGCAGTTTATTCAGAGGTAAAGATATCTGGAATCGCGTGCACGGACCCGTTCGTCAAACTCGTAGGGAGTTTATCAGAAGAGCCCCTAAACATTGTGTGCTGACATTTTATACAATAAAATGAAGTAGGTTGAATCTAGTAGTTCTGATCTTCTGATTGGTCCTGATGAGTTGGGCGATGTCACCTCCAGGCTAGTGTCACTGTTGCATTGGCTCTGAGTCGGGTTCTCTGTCTTCAGATGTTCAGCCTAAGAGAAGAGGATTTGTGTGTGTGTGTGTGTGTGTGTGTGTGTGTGTGTGTGTGTGTGTGTGTGTGTGTGTGTGTGTGTGTGTGTGTGTGTGTGTTTGTTATCAGTGATGATGTGTGTGTGTGTGTGTGTGTGTGTTTATCAGTGATGATGTGTGTGTGTGTGTGTGTGTGTGGGTGTGTGTGTGTGTGTCCTCAGGGCAAGAACTCGTGAGTTGGAAGAACTGAGAGACCTATGGCGTGGGTGTTATCCTTAGCCACCTGCTGACAAGGCTGACAAGATAGGACTCTTGTTCATTGTATTGAATACAAAGGCCCAACACAAAATGGGTCATGCACAAGATTTTAGTCAGACCAAGCTATAACATTATATATTTACTACGACAGTACATTCAACCAAAAGCTAATATAACAAAGGCATCAGAGATTATTTATAATCTGTCACAGAAACTGGAATCCATCTCCCCAGATCAGTCAATAAATGCTTCTGGTATTGACTTATATGCTGCCCCTGTCTTCATGTTGTTGCTGGACATATATTTTTTTAAATGTGTGTAGGTCACCTAAATCATCAGAAAAATTGCCCCTCCTGAGAATTTTTTCAGGAGCCGCCACTGATGGTAGGTATATTTGAACAGTGAGAGACAGAATAACAACTAAAAAATCCAGAAAAACGCATGTCAAAAATGTTATACATTGATTTGCATTTTAATGAGGGAAATATGTATTTGACCCCCTCTCAATCAGAAAGATTTCTGGCTCCCAGGTGTCTTTTATATAGGTAACGAGCTGAGATTAGGAGCACACTCTTAAAGGGAGTGCTCCTAAATCTCAGCTTGTTACCTGTATAAACGACACCTGTCAATCAGATTCCATACTCTCCACCATGGCCAAGACCAAAGAGCTCTCCAATGATGTCAGGGACAAGATTGTAGACCTACACAAGGCTGGAATGGGCTACAAGACCATCGCCAAGTAGCTTGGTGAGAAGGTGACAACAGTTGGTGCGATTATTCGCAAATGGAAGAAACACAAAAGAACTGTCAATCTCCCTCAGCCTGGGGCTCCATGCAAGATCTCACCTCGTGGAGTTGCAATGATCATGAGAACGGTGAGGAATCAGCCCAGAACTATACGGGAAGATCTTGTCAATGATCTCAAGGCAGCTGGGACCATAGGCACCAAGAAAACAATTGGTAACACACCATGCCATGAAGGACTGAAATCCTGCAGCGCCCGCAAGGTCCCCCTGTTCAAGAAAGCACATATACAGGCCCGTCTCAAGTTTGCCAATGAACATCTGAATGATTCAGAGGAGAACTGGGTGAAAGTGTTGTGGTCAGATGAGACCAAAATCGAGCTCTTTGGCATCAACTCAACTTGCCGTGTTTGGAGGAGGAGGAATGCTGCCTATGACCCCAAGAACACCATCCCCACCGTCAAACATGGAAGTGGAAACATTATGCTTTGGGGGTGTTTTTCTGCTAAGGGGACAGGACAATTTCACCGCATCAAAGGGACGATGGATGGCGCCATGTACCATTAAATCTTGGGTGAGAACCTCCTTCCCTCAGCCAGGGCATTGAAAATGGGTCGTGGATGGGTATTCCAGCATGACAATGACCCAAAACACACGGCCAAGGCAACAAAGGAGTGGTTCAAGAAGAGGCACATTAAGGTCTTGGAGTGGGCTAGCAAGTCTCCAGACCTTCATCCCATAGAAAATCTGTGGAGGGAGCTGAAGGTTCGAGTTGCCAAACGTCAGGCTCGAAACCTTAATGACTTGAAGAAGATCTGGAAAGAGGAGTGGGACAAAATCCCTCCTGAGATGTATGCAAACCTGGTGCCCAACTACAAGAAACATCTGACCTCTGTGATTGCCAACAATGGTTTTGCCACCAAGTACTAAGTCATGTTTTGTAGAGGAGTCAAATACTTATTTCCCTCATTAAAATGCAAATAAATTTATACAATTTTTGACATGCATTTTTCTGGATTTTTTTGTTGTTATTCTGTCTCTCATTGTTCAAATAAACCTACCATTAAAGTTATAGACTGATCATTTCTTTGTCAGTGGGCAAACGTACAAAATCAGCAGGGGATCAAATACTTTTTTCCCTCACTGTAGATGTGTGTGTGCTATGAGTAAAGTCATTGCCTTGTTTCTCACAGAATGGCCTTAGAACTTTCACCATCGGTATGTTAGATGTTACTTCAAGAATTGTTCTTGATTATTTCAAAATTCTGGTTCTTTTGTTTATTTTCTAATTTTCAAGGCAAATTCATTTTCTCTCAAGGGGAGGAGAGTTTTTGAGTTTTATTTTCAAATATACTGTCTTTATGATGCAGTGATCTTTCGTATATTTTGCTGTATATTCATCTGTCTGACTTGATAAAACCACATCTGAAGTTGCTATTGACCAATCCAATCAGATCAACAGACTATTTGATGTTCACTGAAATGTGAATTAATGTCTTTAGTTCTGTGTTTTGCTCTTACAGAAATGAATAGGAGCATTCCTTTCTAGCTTGCTTGCAGGAAGGTGTTACCTAAATACATTTGCATATCTAAAGAAGACAATGCTACCTGCCATAAGGACACTTCTGAAGTGATGCTGCTAGGACCATGAACCCCTGAGTTGAAGATTGTACTCTTCTGTCTGATGCAGAATTAGATATGTTCAAGGGAGGATTATGTAGAGAGGCCCCCAAAGTGACTCTTTACACTGTATGCAAAAAAGTCCTTTGTGTTGTTTTAGGAAGTCAGCCATTTCTGCATAATCTCAGCAACTCCCTCATCTCACCTCTGAGAAGCAGAGGTCCTTTTGTCTTTACATCCTGTAGGTCTGATATCTGATTAGAAGTTAACTCAACAGTAATTCTATTGGCCAACAACTCAGATAATAATAATAATAATAATATGCCATTTAGCAGACGCTTTTATCCAAAGCGACTTACAGTCATGTGCGCATACATTTTTACGTATGGGTGGTCCCGGGGATCGAACCCACTACCCTGGCGTTACAAGCGCCATGCTCTACCAATTGAGCTACAAAGATGTTATAAAGGGTGTCAGATTAATTGTCTCTTTCTCTTTTTTGTTCCTGACATGCATTGGTAAAATACACTCTATCTTTCTTTCTCTCTCCGATAAACATTTTAATAGGCTAATTGCATAGTCTTATTATGGATCGCATGTGAGGTAAATACCCTCCTGTAGCTCAGTTGGTAGAGCATGGCGCTTGCAACGCCAGGGTTGTGGGTTCGTTTCCCACGGGGGGCCAGTATGAAAAATGTATGCACTCACTAACTGTAAGTCGCTCTGGATAAGAGCGTCTGCTAAATGACTAAAATGTAAAAAAATATACAGTGCCTTCAGAAAGTATTCACACCTCTTGAGTTATTCCACATTTTTTTTTGTGTTAAAATTGATTGAATTGTCATTTTTTGTCACCAATCTACACAAAATACTCTAATGTCAAAGTGTAAGAAAAATTATAACATTTGTAAAATAAAAAATAAAAAACAGTAATATATCTTGATTAGATAATTATTCAACCCCCTGAGTCAATACATGTTGGAACCACCTTTGGCAGCGATTACAGCTGTGAGACTTTTTCTGGGTAAGTCTCTAAAATCTTTGCACACCTGGATTGTACAACATTTGCCCATTATTATTTTTACAATTCTTCAAGCTCTGTCAAATTGGTTGCTGATCATTGCTAGACAACCATTTTCAGGTCTTGCCATATATTTTCAAACAAATTTAGGTCAAAACTGTAAATCGGCTACTCAGGAACATCCACTGTCTTCTTGGTAAGCAACTCCAGTTTAGATTTGGTCTTGTGTTTTAGGTTATTGTCCTGCTGAAAGGTGAATTCATTAATCTTCCAGTGTCTGGTGGAAAGCAGACTGAGCCAGTTTTTCCTCTAGGATTTTGCCTGTGCTTAGCTCCATTCCGTTTCTTTTTTATCCTGAACTCCCCAGTCCTTAAGGATTACAAGCATACCCATAACATGATGCAACCACCACTATGCTTGGAAATATGGAGAGTGGTACTCAGTAATGTGTTGTATTGGATTTGCCCAAACATAACACTTTGTATTCAGTACAAAAAGTAAATTGCTTTGCCAAAAATTTTTCAGTATTACTTTAGTGCCTTATTACAAACAGGATGCATGTTTTTGGAATATTTTTATTCTGTACAGGTTTCCATCTTTTCACTCTGTCAATTAGGTTAGTATTGTGGAGTAACTACAATGTTGTTGATCCAACCTCAGTTTTCTCCTATCACAGTCAAATCCCTACGCGGTTTCCTTGCTCTCTGGCAACTGAGTTAGGAAGGACGCCTGTATCTTTGTAGTGACTGGTACCCTTTACAGACAGACTTTACGGTATTTTGCTTGGAGAAAAAAAATCTGCCAATGTTTTTTTCGAGCTTAATTCATACAGTCCCATTTTTACCCCCTTCTTACCGGGATAAGCCTTTTGTATCTCCTGTGCACATGCCGGTAAGTTTAGGAGTGGGAGTAGAGAAAGAAATCCATTATTCATTTGTTTTAGGCAGGTCCTAAGAAACATTATAAGACTAATAAAATGTATTTTCAAAAGAATAGAATGGCATTTTGTGAGTTGAATTATGTTACTGGTCTGTGCAGCCTACATGCTACATGGCAGTGTCATGCACATGAAATCAATAGTTATTATGTTCATTAAAGAGACAAGACACACTTAGGCTACCCTGATCACAGTCAACACACATATATTTTATAGTAGGCTAAGAATGATGAAATATAACAGAATAAAATACAAATAATATTTTTCCCACACAACTTGCGTCACGGCAACGTGTGGAACCGCTGTCATATAAAAAGGTGATATTTTGAAACAAAGCCCAAGGCAAGCCCATACTTTTTAAATCCACGTTTCATCTCTTTCCTACCCTCACTCCGCTGTGTTAGGGAGCAGGCATAGACTGTAAGGTCTGACATTGAGAGTATCTTCATCATACCAATAGAAAATAGTATCGTGTTCACATTTCACAACCTCCGCAGGCTTTTGGAGTTGCCTTTACATGATCTAGCAAAATAATAGGCCTACACTTGATTTAGGCTACATTATTGCATGCTAAATCGTTCTGATCAGTGATGCATGAGCAAACAAATAAGATGAGCTATACCACCTCCACTTATTTGCCCAGCCAGAGAATTAACCAAATATACAAACGGAGATTCAGTGAAAAAAATCACATTAATATGATTAATATGAATCCACTTGTTAAGCTACATAACATGCTGGCAAAATGTTCTGATCAGTGCTACTAAATGAGCCAACTAGACAAGATGATCATTTGCAGCACTCACCTCAACTTCGCTTACATTTCTACAGCCTAAATGTAGCCTAACCAATATCCAAATGGAGATTGAATGAAAAGAAAAATCGGACATTGGTTGATTTATCTAGACGATTTCCCAGCTTGTCTCAAAGCAGCGCGAAATGGTGCAGAAATAGTTGGAACACGCGGGTAAGCTACTGCTTCAAATGTATTATAACAATTGGATGACTTTTTGTCACACTCTGGCTCCGGGACTTTGTGTGTTGAGCCAGGGTATGTTCGTTTCGTGGTGTTTTGTTTGGTTGGGTGGTTCTATGTGTTGTATTTCTTGGTTTGGTTGAGTGACTCCCAATCAGAGGTAACGAGTGTCAGCTGTTGGCTCGTTGTCTCTGATTGGGAGCCATATTTATACTGTCTGTTTTCACCTGGTGTTTGTGGGTTTTTGTTCCTTTTGGTCAGTGTACCGTGGACTTCATTGAGTCGTCTTTTGTTTGTAGTTCGATTACGTTTATTTAATAAAGTCATGTTTCTTGGACACGCTGCGCCTTGGTCATACTTGGACGACATAGACGACCGTGACAGAAAAACCCACCATCAAAGGACCAAGCAGCGTGTCCGGGAGCAAAGAGACTGGACATGGGAGGAGGCGCCTGGTAAGGAGATCGAGAGGCTGGCGATGGCCCAGGTGGGCAAATCGTGGTCCTGGGAGGACATGCTCGGGGGCAAGGGACCTTGGGGGAAGATCAAGGCCCTGGCGAGAGAGGAGCAACAGCGTCAGCAGGGTCATCGTTGGAAGGACGTGAGGCAACCCCAAAAAGTTTTTTGGGGGGGGCACATGGCTTGGGCGGCTGGGCAGCAGGAGGCTGCCACAGGGAGATGTGGAGAGAAGGCTACCGGATTACGGGAGCCATTGGCGAATAGAGGGAGGGAAGCAGTTGAGGCACGGCGTGAGAGACTGAGGTGTGTTACCAGTCCGGACCGGCCCGTTCCTGATCCCCGGTTAAGGCCAGTGGTGTGTGTTCCCAGTACGGACCGGCCTGTTCCTACTCCACGCATCAAGCCCACGGTGTGCGTCGCCAGTCCAGCCCGGCCGGTTCCTGTTCCACGTAGAAAGCCTACGGTGTGCGTGGCCAGCCCAGCCCGACCTGTTCCGACTCCACGCATCAAGCACACGGCATGGACGACGGAGGCAAAGATGGGGCGAATCCAGGAGGCCACCAGGCCAGGGGTACACCGCCCTGTACGTCCTGTGCGGATGCCTCACACAGAGTGTGTGAGGGTAGGCATTCAGCCAGGACGGGTGGTGGCCGCTGTTCACTCCAGGCCTCCTATCCGTCTCCACAGCCCGGTCCGGCATAGTCCTGCTCCCCGCACCAAGTCCACGGTGTGCGTCGCCAGTCCAGCCCGACCTGTTCCTGCGCCACGTACCAGACCCACGGTGTGCGTCGCCAGTCCAGCCCGGCCGGTTCCTACTCCACGCATCAAGCCCACGGTGTGCGTCGCCAGTCCAGCCCGGCCGGTTCCTGCTCCACGTACTAAGCCTACGGTGTACGTCGCCAGCCCGACCCGGCCTGTTCCTGCCACCCACACCAAGTCTACGGTGCGCGTCGCCAGCCCGGTCCGGCCTTTCCTGCCACCCGCACCAAGTCTATGGTGTGCGTCGCCAGCCCGGTCCGGCCTGTTCCTGCCACCCGCACCAAGTCTACGGTGCGCGTCGCCAGCCCGGTCCGGCCTGTTCCTGCCACCCGCACCAAGTCTACGGTGCGCGTCGCCAGCCCGGTCCGGCCTGTTCCTGCCACCCGCACCAAGTCTACGGTGTGCGTCGCCAGCCCGGTCCGGCCTGTTCCTGCCACCCGCACCAAGTCTACGGTGCGCGTCGCCCGGCCAGAGTCTGCCGTCTGCCCAACGGCGCTTGAACTGCCCGTCTGCCCAACGGCGCTTGAACTGCCCGTCTGCCCAACGGCGCCTGAACTGCCTGTCTGCCCAACGCCGTCTGAACTGTCCGTCTGCCAAGCGCTGCATAAGCCGCCCGTCTGCCATGAGCCTTCAGAGCCGTCCGCCAGACCGGAGCCGCTAGAGCCTTCCGCCAGACAGGATCAGCCAGAGCCTTCCGCCAGACAGGATCAGCCAGAGCCTTCCGCCAGACAGGATCAGCCAGAGCCTTCCGCCAGACAGGATCAGCCAGAGCCTTCCGCCAGACAGGATCAGCCAGAGCCTTCCGCCAGACAGGATCAGCCAGAGCCTTCCGCCAGGCAGGATCAGCCAGAGCCTTCCGCCAGCCAGGATCCGCCAGAGCCAGCCAGCCAGGATCCGCCATTCAGTCCGGTGCTGCCCCTTAGTCCGGTGCTGCCCCTTAGTCCGGTGCTGCCTCTTAGTCCGGTGCTGCCCCTTAATCCGGTGGGGGTCAGTTGGAGGAGGCTACGTAAGCGGGTAGTGACTATGGTGGGGTGGGGACCACGACCAGAGCCAGAACCACCGCCGAAGAGGTATGCCCACCCAGCCCTCCCTTGGTTAGCCCTAGTGGAGGCGCGGTCGCAGTCCGCGCCTTTAGGGGGGGGTACTGTCACACTCTGGCTCCGGGACTTTGTGTGTTGAGCCAGGGTATGTTCGTTTCGTGGTGTTTTGTTTGGTTGGGTGGTTCTATGTGTTGTATTTCTTGGTTTGGTTGATGACTCCCAATAGAGGTAACCAGTGTCAGCGTTTTGGGCCGGGTTTTTTCGATTGGGGCCCTATTTTACGTCTGTTTTCACCCGGTTTTGTGGGTTTTTTTTTCCTTTTGGGGTGTCCCTGGATTCATTGAGTGTCTTTTTTTTGTAGTTCGATTAGTTTTTTTAAAAAAGTCAGTTTTTTTGGACAAACGCCTTGCCGGGCCCTTGCCCTCATTTTTTTTTTTGGAACCGAAACATTTTTTAACCCAAACCCCGGGGAAACAAACCCCTTTTTTGAGGGGGGTTTTAAATAAGGGAAACAACAGAATAAATACAAATAATATTTTTCCCACACAACTTGCGTCACGGCAACGTGTGGAACCGCTGTCATATAAAAAGTGATATTTTGAAACAAAGCCCAAGGCAAGCCCATACTTTTTAAATCCACGTTTCATCTCTTTCCTACCCTCACTCCGCTGTGTTAGGGAGCAGGCATAGACTATAAGGTCTGACATTGAGAGTATCTTCATCATACCAATAGAAAATAATAGCAATCTATATTTTCAAAAGCATGTGAGTCTCGTGTTCACATTTCACAACCTCCGCAGGCTTTTGGAGTTGCCTTTACATGATCTAGCAAAATAATAGGCCTACACTTGATTTAGGCTACATTATTGCATGCTAAATCGTTCTGATCAGTGATGCATGAGCAAACAAATAAGATGAGCTATACCACCTCCACTTATTTGCCCAGCCAGAGAATTAACCAAATATACAAACGGAGATTCAGTGAAAAAAATCACATTAATATGATTAATATTAATCCACTTGTTAAGCTACATAACATGCTGGCAAAATGTTCTGATCAGTGCTACTAAATGAGCCAACTAGACAAGATGATCATTAGCAGCACTCACCTCAACTTCGCTTACATTTCTACAGCCTAAATGTAGCCTAACCAATATCCAAATGGAGATTCAATGAAAAGAAAAATCGGACATTGGTTGATTTATCAAGACGATTGGAGTTTTAGTAGGCAACAATTCGATGCCTTCAATTGCATTAGCTTACTTCATTCCAATATCTTCGTCATTGAGTGATATTTATTCATTATTTATGGGTCCATCCAGTTGTGGTTAAGAAAACAGTGCATGTGGTGGGCTATGCGAAGAGATGGATGAAGTGACATGCCTCGCAAAGTTTACAACTGGCAGGAGGATAGTAATAACGGGCACTGTCTAGCAACCACTAAGAGCTTAAGAGTGTAGCGCATGCCAATGCCACCTCAGCATTACAGCTACATTTCATACTAAGCCGTACGCAGAACTTTACCACAATCATGACTAGGTCGGTTGGCGGAAATAAAAGTAGAGGCTTTGTAGCTTTCATATGTAAAGAAAAGTTGGCAGGATGCTTAAGTTAGCAGAAAAACATCTTAGTTTGAAAGGTGTATGGGTGTATTGATACATAATTTGAAGTGTAATTAATATCTTCACCATGCTTAAAGGGATATTCAACGTCAGAATTTGAATTTTTACCCATCTACCTTCTTTGTGAGGCATTGGAAAACTTCCCTGGTCTTTGTGGTTGAATCTGTGTTTGAAATTCCCTGCTTGACTGAGGGACATTCCAGATAATTGTAGGTGTGGGGTACAGAGATGAGGTAGTCATTCAAAAAACACTATTACTGCACACAGAGTGAGTCCATGCATCTTACTATGTGACTTGTTAAGCACATTTTTACACCTGAACTTATTTAGGCTTGCCATAACAAAGGGGTTTAATACTTATTGATTCAAGACATTTCAGCTTTTACATTTTAATGAATTTGTAAACATTTCAAAAAACCTAATTCCACTTTGACATTATGGGTTATTGTGTGTAGGCCAGTGACACAAAATCTAAATTTAATAAATGTAAGATTCAGGCTGTAACACAACAAAATGTGGAAAAAGTCAAGGGGTGTGAATACTTTTTGAAGGCAATGTATAATATGCACATATCAAATATTACTCCACTATACAGGTATTGTCAATCACATCACTTGAAGGTATCTTTGTCGTTTGGAAATATATTGTGTTATGTGGTGTGTGTGGTCTATGTGTTTGTGTAAGCACTGGGGTATCAGCTTGTGTGCTAACAGAGTGTGTGAGACCATGTGCTTAAAGTGTGCATGCGTGACTGTCTGCGTGCGTGCCTGGTGAGATGTCCATGGAAGGGGCTCAGGTATTGGGGTCAGGTGGAATCAGAGTCCTCTCTTGTCACTTACACACTCCTTCTAATGAGTTTACGGCTCCGTGAGCAGCCTCTCCACTTAAACAGCCCCACCGTAAACACTAGCGCTATGCTAAAACTAGGCTATTCGAATGCTACACCCTAGAAGCTAATGTACCGCTAACCCACTAAGCCCAGGACCAGCTCACTCTGGGTTACAACATGAGTCAGGCTCTTAGTTCAGACTCATCACCGCTAAGTGTTCTAGTTCCTATTATTTAATAGGTGACCATACTGTACTGCCTGAAGGACTCTTGAGGAACAGGTTACATATTCACACATGATGATACTGCATGAGTCTAGGTAATCCCAATACCTTCAATATCACAATATTCAACCTTCCTGTTATGATTTTTCTGTTATAGGAATTCGGAACCTTGGGTGGTTCCCTGGTGTATTGACAAGAATTTCAATAGCTAACGATACCTACACACTGAAGAAGGATGTTAAGTCGAAACGTCTGGGTATGCTATCCCCGAAGCAGTAAACATTATTTTGAAAAATTGAAAAATTAAGTAAGGTTTTTGCGACATCTTTTTGTGTGCAGAGTGCTGACCCATTAAATGTTTTGTCATATCTCTGACAACAATAGCAAACAAACTGTTAAACTGTCCATACTCTCTTACCTGGCCAGCTTGCTGAGGCCCAGCACCCTTTTGTTGGGGAGGTAGCCTATGTGGACCTGGGGGAGAGAAGAGAGACCATGTCTGTCATTAGTGATGTCCAAGGTCCGCATTATAGCATATCCACAACCACAGACAGCAAATCATGTTGCCCCAAATCCTGCATTTCCCAAGACAGACCCAACTGGTATGTCAATGTACAGTACACACTGAGTGTACAAAACATTAAGAACAGCTTCCTAATATTGAGTTGCACACCCCCTTTTGTCCTCAGAACAGCCTCAATTTGTCGGGGCATGGACTCTACAAAGTGTCGAAAGCATTCCACAGGGATGCTGGCCCATGTTGACTCCAATGCTTCCCACAGTTGTGTCAAGTTGGCTGGATGTCCTTTGGGTGGTGGATCATTCTTGATACACACAGGAAACTGTTGAGCATTAAAAACCCAGCAGCGTTGCAGTTCTTGACACAAACCGGTGCACCTGGCACCTACTACCATACACCGTTTAAAGGCACTTCAATCTTTTGTCTTGCCCATTGATGTTGAGATGTGTCTGTGACTTGAACTCTGTGAAACATTTATTTGGGCTGCAATCTGAGGTGCAGGTAACTCTAATGAACTTATCCTCTGCAGCAGAGGTAACTCTGGGTATTCCATTCCTGTGGTGGTTCCTCATGAGAGCCAGTTTCATCAAAGCGCTTGATGGTTTTTGCGACTGCACTTGAAGAAACTTTCAAAGTTCTTGTCTTAAAGTAATGTCTTAAAGTAATGATGGACTGTCGTTTCTTTTTGCTTATTTGAGCTGTTCTTGCCATAATATGGACTTGGTCTTTTACCAAATAGGGCTATCTTCTGTATACCCCCCTACTTTGTCACACCACAATTGATTGGCTCAAACGCAATTAAGAAGGAAAGAAAATTCCACAAATTAACTTTTAAGATGGCAAACTTGTTAATTGAAATGCATTCCAGATGACTACCTCATGAAGCTGGTTGAGATAATGCCAAGAGTGTGCAAAGCTGTCATCAAGGCAAAGGGTGGCTATTTGAAGAATCTCAAAAATAAAATATATTTTGATTTGTTTAACAATGTTTTGGTTACTACATGATTCCATATGTGTTACTTCATAATGTTGATGTCTTCACTATTATTCTACAATGTAAAAAACAGTAAAAATAAAGAAAAACATTGAATGAGTAGGTGTGTCCAAACTTTTGACTGGTAGTGTACCATGTCTCAAGGCTTCTTAAATCTGTCTCCGCCCTTCATCTACACTGATTGAAGTGGATTTAACAAGGGACATCAATAAGGGATCATAGCTTCCACCTGGGTTCACCTGGTCAGTCTGTCATAGAAAGAGCAGGTGTTCTTAATGTCTTGTATACTCAGTGTATCTCAGTGGTTGACTGTGGTTGACTGTGTTATCTCGCTAAGCTAAAGCCTAGGCAACACGAGCCTTCAGGTCTCATGCAAGGTTACTCATCACACAAACATTTTGAATTATATTGGGGACCCATCATACAGTATGAAGAAGGCAAGCTAAACATTTGCGTTCCACCTTGACAGGCGTGGTAAAGACATGAATCCTAAGAGGAGAAGACAAAAGGCAACATTATCTAAAGGCCATCGGAGGAGTGCAGGGGAGGTAAGGGAGTCCCGTCTGCACCGTGGATAAATAAGCAGCAGATAAAAGATTTGAAGCGGATCAAGATCTAGACTCTCCTCCACATCCAGCTGGTGAGCCTGCTTCTGCGCATGACTGGAAGGCTAAGTGGCCCACCCCTCACCCTCCATCCTCCATTCAAATGTCAGCAGCAATTTGATGAAATGGGCTGAGTGAAAGGGCATGCATGCAAGGATTTATCCTCCTCTCCTCTTCCCCCCGTCTCTTTCTGCTTGGTTGTGATAAAGACGGCGTCATTGAACTATCTTGGTCCAAGCTCTTCAGCTTCTTCCTTTCGGCTCACTGCTGCACTTTTAAAAAGCGCATTTCTGAACTGGGTAAAAAAAAAAAAAAAACGTTCACTTCACTTCAAAAAGAGGGGATTTAAGTTTTATTAAAAGTAGGGTTCAGAGATGGGTTTCGTGGTTTTTCAAAGGTATGCCGTGTAAAAGTACGCCTTAAAGCCAATCACAACGAAAAACAATATCAACTTGTCGCGAGGTGATGACAGACACTAAAAGCATTAATAAAAGACAACTGACTGACTGGACACGAGATGAAAATGGAAAAAAAAGAGCACCGAACGGTGAGTCATTATCGCACTCAACGAGCAGCATGGATAGATGTGATAAGCAGCGTGGATAAGAGCTGACTAGCGCTTGTGACAACGACAGGGAGCTATCAGCGGGGGAAGGAGATGAACGGAAACAGAGTGGCCTTCTGACAGCCAGCTGCTGACAAACAAACACACCACAAAGAGAAAAACACCAGTGTGTGTGTGTGTTTGTCAGTCTGTGTGTGTCTCTTTGTGTGTGTGTGTGTAACGATTGTTCCCGCTATCATCATGGCCCATTTGCAGGCGTGAAAGGGATGTGAAAGTATAAACTGCCTCCCTCTTTGTCTTAAATGGCAAACACCTGCAGGGTAAGATGAGGGGAGAATAGAGGGGGAGGATGCTAGGTCTACGGTACTAAATGTCAAACAGGAGAATTTCCAGAGGCAAGCGTGTCTCACTTGAATCCCCGCTAATGGGATTTCAGCTGATTTGCGTGGCGTTCCAAATGGCACCCATTTCCAAATATAGTGCACTACTTTTTACCAGAGTTCTATGGGCCCTGGTCAAAGGTAGTGCTATAGGGTGCCATTTGGAACACATCCTTGGTCAGTGCTGCAGGCCATTTTTATTTACCAGTTGTTTAATCACAGCTGGGCTCAATTACAGACTCATAAGTGGACAAAGAAAGCCTTTATCAGTAGGTTACTCCTTTCACAATTGTGGTGATTTTAGCATGTAAATCTCCACAAATTGTTAGGGCCTACATAACGCTGTCCTTTCAGCACCATGGAGTGAATCCTTACCACTGCTACACCTGGCTATCAGCGGAGCCTTGTCTGGCAGCGAAACAGTTCATTCAGCCTAATCTACTGCCTCTTTAAAAAACATAGCTGATATGGCTGACTTGCTTAAACAAATGTGGTTTCTACTGACAATTGAGATGTACAAACTATGGCATAAGGGAACGACGAGCGGATAAGAGGCACTCCGTAATTTCGATTAAGATTAATGAGCAAGCTAGGACGGACGTAGTCAATATAACTATTTGTTCAGCACTTTTGAAATGTACAGCGACAGAATTCAGAACATGGGCCATTCTTACAGTATTCTCCCTGTACACCAAGTCAGAACCGTAGGATAAATAAAGGGGGCTTATAAGCAGACAATGAAAGCTCTTCCATCATTCAATGATTACATTTCTCTAAAACAGGCTATTGGCTACATGTGCACCACCAAGTCAGAACTGTAGGCTAAATTATGAGGGGGCAAGGGCACAAATGATTAGGGTGAGGCACATGGGCTATTAACAGCTTACTACACAACATACACTTAGTATTACTTTCTTAGCTACATTATACATATCTCCCTGGCAAATGACATCATTTAAGCAGCAGCCTACAATACATTTTTGGACTCACCTTGTTGTGCTGTGCTCACTTGAACAGGAAGGTGGCGCGGCAGTCCATGTGGGCAAACTTTGTCATCAAACTTTATCATCAAAGTCTGGCATTCTCTGGATTTATGGTGCTTTGAAGACAACTGGGAACTCGGAAAAAAACAAGGTTGAACCATGACGTCAGTGATCTTCAGGTTGGAGCTCTAGAAAGAGGCCTGAGTTTCCAATTTGGAATTCCGAGTTGGATGACCGTTCTAAACATATTTTCCCAGTCGCAGCTCGTTTTTTTCAGAGTTCCCAGTTATCTTGAACTCACTGAAGAACGAGATTTCCCAGTTCCGAGTTTCCAGTTGTTTTGAACGTGGCAGAAGTCATGCTGGATTGACAGCATGGCCAATGCCCATGGTGTTGAATGTTTATCCCTTTAAGTTTGGAAAAGAGACACTTAAACCCAGACTTGGACCACACACCCACTCCACTGAATAGCAGGCTAATGATTACTTTGCAAAGCTTGCAGTTAGCCACTGATTCCTTCCAAGTGATTTCAAACTTGTTGTGTAATGTTTATGTCCAATGGCCGATGAGCACCAACACGTTTTATCTATAATTTCTCTTCATATGACAAGGATTGAAAAGGATTTGCCAGTAGATTGTCCACGTGATTCATGATGATGACTGCTTGTCTAGCTTGCTAGCTAAGATTTTGAAAGTATGATGTTGACATGATCAGTCCAATCAAAGCTATGGTAGATATAACGTGATTTGACGTCATTTTATCTCAAAACTGAATGATGGGTCGCCACTGGGAATCATTAGCCAGTATGAAAATGTATGCACTCACTACTGTAAGTCGCTCTGGATAAGAGCTTCTGCTAAATGACTTAAATGTAATGTAAATGGAGGGGGTTGGATAGAAAATCCACAAACCCTCCTGACTTCCACATGACCACTTTCAATGATTTAACATACAGTATTACCCAGCAGGCAAAACAGGTTCAAAGGACTTAATCATGACATCTTTTATGACGTCATGGTCAGGTTGTTTACTGGTTGTAAAAGGAATTCAAAATACATTTTTATCTGGTTGTAGCAGAGACCGTTAGGTTGTAATCTCGTTATATGACGTCTTCTTAAAAAACATTTTTATCGCTTTGGTACTATTTTCACAAGTACGTTGTAACATTTCACAACTCTTAGTTCAAAACTCAAAACAGATATCAAAAAGGCTTTTTTTTTGGTGACATTTTTATTGACTAAAGTACAACACACAAAATCACACAGTAACTTTTTCACCAAACCTAATCAGTGTTTCATCTAGTAATACGTTTCATATAAAGTAATTTCCTTTCACAATGCAATGCTCACAATACTTTTCATATGATTCTCTTCTCATATGTTTAAATACATTTGACCATCACCTAATCCTACTGTGCTTAATGGTTAATCACTTAACCATTTGGTAAACCTATAGATGTATTTTGAGAACCACAGATTTTTTGTGTGTGTTTGTAAAGTATAAACATCTAAATTAAATGTATGATACATGATAACCATACATAACGACTACTTGTTATTGCTAATTGATTTCAACATGGAGCAGGATAGACAGCAAGGGAGAGGAAGACATCAAAGAGCTCAAGGTGCCCGTCAGAGAGGTGGGCATGGGCCACATCAAAGAGGTCAGAGAGGTGGGCATGGGCCCCATCAAAGAGGTCAGAGAGGTGGGCATGGGCCCCATCAAAGAGGTCAGAGAGGTGGGCATGGGCCCCATCAAAGAGGTCAGAGAGGTGGGCATGGGCCCCATCAAAGAGGTCAAAGAGGTGGGCATGGGCCCCATCAAAGAGGTCAAAGAGGTGGGCATGGGCCCCATCAAAGAGGTCAAAGAGGTGGGCATGGGTCCCATCAAATTGGTGGACATCAGAGAGAGGGAGGCAGACGGCAGGGAACTGTTGTCGTTGACCATGTGGTAAACAGAGGACTTACCATGGCAGAGGCTGCCACATTAGTTCACCCCAATCTGAAAATATCAATTGTCAATTCGATCATGAGAACATTTCGCCAAGAAAACGGGTAAGTCTGCAGAATATGCACAATGCTTTACCATTACATATACAGTAAATTACATATTGTAATTAATGTAAATTCACAAAACATGTTACAGTATTCTTACAGTATGATCTATTGACAGCATACTCTGTTCTACCCTCAGAATTGACACCTTTGCCAATGTGGCATCCATCTGCCTACCAACAGTCGCCCGCCTTTTGAAGAGGCACCAGGTATCTATGAAACACATTTACCTGATGCCTTTTGAGAGAAACAACGACTGGGTGAAACAACTGCGGGCCGAGTATGTTCAGGTACCGCTCTATATACTGTATTACTGTTACTATTTAATGCACATGCTACTTCACAATATCATATTGGAACTATACTGTAAAAATAACTAACCAAAATATATTTTTAGAGGGTGATGGTGCTTGATACTGCTGTGAACCATCACAAGCGTATCTTTGTTGATGAAGCGGGCTTTAACCTGGCCAAAACTCAGCGCTTTGGGCGGACGGGCAACCGTCCAAGTGCCTCGACAACGTCATGCAGCTATCTCTGAAGATGGTGTGGTAGGAAGTAGGCCATTACTACAACGCTGCACATCTCATTGTGTTTCTCAATGAAATTGAGCAGGCCTGTCAAGGTGAAGGGGTCACCTATGTCATTGTGAGGGACAATGTCAGGTTCCATCATGCAGAGGTGTTTCAGGCATGGTTTCGAGCACATCCTCAATTCGTGACCCTATACCTGCCCCAATACTCTCCTTTCCTCAACCCTGTAGAGGATTTTTTGTCAGCATGGTTGGAAGGCGTTCCATCGCCATCCCCAGCATGCCACTCTCCTTCTGGCCATGGATGAGGCATGCAGCGACATCAATGCAGATCAATGTCAATCTTGGATTCGCCATGCCAAAAAGTTTTTCCCGCGGTGCATGAACAATGACAACATTCACTGTGATGTGGATGAGAATTGATGGCCAAATGCTCAAGACAGGCTTGATGCAAATGAATGAATGAATTTAATTTGTTTCATTTAATTTGTTGCAATTATATAAATAAATAAAATATTTGCATAAATGATTATAGAGGATGTGTTCATTGATCACACATTGGATAGATATTATGGAAATTATACATTTTGTTGGTAATGTAAGTGTATTGCCTAATGTGAAAACTGTGTAACCTATTGTAATTTACAGTACTGTAGCATATTACTTTCAGCACCTTTTTTTTTACCCATTTTTCGTGATATCCAATTGGTAGTTACAGTCTTGTCCCATCGCTGCAACTCCTGTACGGACTCAGGAGAGGCGAAGGTCGAGAGCCGTGCGTCCTCCGAAACACGACCCTGCGAGGCCTCACTGCTTCTTGACACACTGCCCGCTTAACCCGGAAGCCAGCCGCACCAATGTGTCGGAGGAAACACCATACAACTGGCGACCGCGTCAGCGTGCATGCGCCCAGCCCGCCACAGGAGTCACTAGAGCGCGATGGGACAAGGACATCCCGGCCGGCCAAACCCTCCCCTAACCCGGACGACGCTGGGCCAATTGTGCGTCGCTTCATGGGTCTCCCGGTTGCAGCCGGCTGCGACACAGCTCGGGACCGAACCCAGATCTGTAGTGACGCCTCAAGCACTGCAGTGCCTTAGACCGCTGCGCCACTCGGGAGCCCCACTTTCAGCACTTCTAAGGGTGATTTGAAACACGTATCTTGCATTGTTTGCTATTGGATTAACTGGTAGTTAAAATGACTAAATTGAAAAGATATCATTATGTTGTGTTTTGGTGATTAAACCAATGTTCTCATTACATTTCACAATTAACTTATATTTTTAATCAATGGTTGTGTGGTGAGATATTTTTACAATCCAAATGAATGCACAATGACAGGTTTTGAATGAAAGACTGGCTGCGTTATAAGTGTGACCAGTTTGGAGTTTTGTACTAAGAGTTGTGAAAATTTACCACACACTTGTGAAAATAGTACCAAAGCGCAAAAATAAACTGTAATCAGAAAATAACATTATGTACCAAATGTCTCCCATTGAGTAATGTACCTTTTCGGTTACGTGTGAGGAAGCCAAACTAGAAGAGATTCTCCATAACTGGTGATTAAATTGTACACCTTTGGACTGGTGTGGGTCTGGGGTACAGATAGGGGCATAGGGGTGTGTGTGTGTATGTGTGTATGTGTGTGTGTGTGTGTGTGTGTGTGTGTGTGTGTGTGTGTGTGATCTTACCCTGCCAAAGATGGGCACCAGGTGGTGCTCGCACATGGAGAACATGTCGATGTCCTTCACGATCACCATCTCATCGTGGTCCTCGTCGAAGATGGCATCATTCAGCACGTCTGCGGAAGCAAAAGAAAATGAGAGTGAGACAGATGAGTGCGAGGGCCATCGAGTCGACGCCATACAGCACCAAGACACTCGACGAGACACTCAACAGACGAGACAGCCCAACCTAATCACTCTCCTTCCATACCATACAATTCTGTGAAAAAAGATTAGCCCCCTTTCTGATTTTCTCTATTTTTGCACATTTTGGACACTGAACGTTATCAGATCTTCAACCAAAACCTAATATTAGATAAAGGGAACCTGAGTGAACAAATAACACAACATCTTGATACTTCTTTCATTTATTTAATAAACAAAGTTATTCAACACCCAATGCCGCCGTGTGAAAAAGTAATTGCCCCCTTATACTCAATAACTGGTTGTGCCATCTTTCGTCGCAGCGGGAAAATAATGCTACAGCAGGAGGATTTGAATATCTGAACAAATATTTTGAATCGCCGCCAGGGGGCAACTGGAAAAGGTGTTTTCAAGGGTTTTTCTTTATATTTACTATTTTCTACATTGTAGAATAATAGTGAAGACATCAAAACAATGAAATAACACATATGGAATCATGTAGTAACCAAATAAGTGTTAAACAGATTCTTCAAATAGCCACCCTTTGCCTTGATGACAGCTTTGCACACTCTTGGCATTCTCTCAACCAGCTTCATGAGGTAGTCCTCTGGAATGCATTTCAATTAACAGGTGTGCCTTGTTAAAAGTTAATATGTGGAATTTATTTCCTTCTTAATGCATTTGAGCCAATCAGATGTGTTGTGACAAGGTATGGTTGGTATACAGAAGATAGCCCTATTTGGTAAAAGACCAAGTCCATATTATGGCAAGAAAAACTCAAATAAGCAAAGAGAAACGACAGCCCATCATTACTTTAAGACATGAAGGTCAGTAAATCCGGAACATTTCAAGAACTTTGAAAGTTTCTTCAAGTGCAGTTGCAAAAACCATCAAGCGCTATGATGAAACTGGCTCTCATGAGGACCGCCACAGGAAAGGAAGACCCAGAGTTACCTCTGCTGCAGAGGATAAGTTCATTAGAGTTAACAGCCTCAGAAATTGCAGCCCAAATAAATGCTTCACAGAGTTCAAGTAACAGACACATCTCAACACCAATTGTTCAGAGAGGACTGTGTGAATCAGGCCTTCACGGTCGAATTGCTGCAAAGAAAGCACTACTAAAGGACACCAATAAAAAGAAGAGACTTCTTGGGCCAAGAAACACAAGCAATGGACATTAGACCGGTGGAAATCTGTCCTTTGGTCTGATGAGTCCAAATTTGAGATTTCTGGTTCCAACCCCTGTGTCTTTGTGAGACGCAGAGTAGGTGAACGGATGATCTCCGCATGTGTGGTTCCCACCATGAAGCATGGAGGAGGAGGTGTGATGGTGTGGGGGTGCTTTGCTGGTGACACTGTCGATTATTTATTTAGAATTCAAGGCATACTTAACCAGCATGGCTACCACAGCATTCTGCAGCGATACGCCATCCCATCTGGTATGCGCTTACTGATACTATCATTTGTTTTTCAACAGGACAATGACCCAACACATCTCCAGGCTGTGTAAGGGCTATTTTACCAAGAAGGAGAGTGATGGAGTGCTGCATCAGATGACCTGGCCTCCACAATCACCCGACCTCAACCCAATTGAGATGGTTTGGGATGAGTTGGACCGCAGAGTGAAGGAAAAGCTCAGCATATGTGGGAAATCCTTCAAGACTGTTTGAAAAGCATTCCAGGCGAAGCTGGTTGAGAGAATGCCAAGAGTGTGCAAAGCTGCCATCAAGGCAATGGATGGCTACTTTGAAGAATCTCAAATATAAAATATATTTGGATTTGTTTAACACTTTTTAATTTACCTCATGATTCCATATGTGTTATTTAATAATGTCTTCACTATTATTCTACAATGTAGAAAATAATCAAAATAAAGAAAAACCCGGTGTGTCCAAACCTTTGACTGGTACTGTATGTTGAAGGGAAGCAATAGGAATATTTTTTTTAAAAATAATTTCTTATTATACCAAATAAGGCAACACTTTACTTGACAGCCAGTGTCATAACATGTCATGATATGTCATAACAGCTGACATTACTTGTCATAACCTGTCATAATATGGTCATAACACTGTCATGACCCATATATTTACACCTGTTGTGACATACATTGCGTTATTTTATGGTTGGTTAAGACACCTACATAAAAGTGTCAAAACCCACATTTATTCAAATGAGTTTTTTCCCTGCTAAGAAGTTTCCTTTTGTTTGAAAGTTTGTTTCTTAAATCGTTTGTTGATGTTGTTGTAATGAATTCTTTACAGTCATGTTTTTTTCATCATATTTTAAATAACTTGTCGAAAATACACTTTATGACACCATCAAGAAGCATTATGACCATCATAATCATATAAGCCTGATAGGCCTATCACGTACAGGCCCTTAATTCAGCCATCAGTCAAAAAGAGGGTGTCTTGTCCTGCTCCTGAAATCTGCTCCTGCATTCATCCCAGTCATCAGCAACAGAGCATTGGGGTAGGTGCATGTCTGACATCAATGTGTGCGCAATTACAATGACAATTGAATATGGTCAATAAATAAAAAAACACGATATAACATAAACATACTGTTGACACGTAGGCTTTGGTGTAATGGAATGTTTTGCCTTGTGTGGTAGGTTTTGTGGATTTTGACACTGTTATGTAAGTGTCATAACCAATGAGTGCAAACTTGAACTTTGTGAATATTCTGTGCAATTTCCAGCATGCATTTACTGTGAACTTTGAGGCTGTACCCTCTTTAAGTTACAGTTTTAACAGTGGCCAAGTAGACTACTGTGGCTATTCGATCATCAAAAACAAATTCCATAACATTTTAACATAGAAATACCATCAAAAACAATGGAGAAAAACGCATTCCATAACATTTTAACATGGAAATAGCTGTTCTATCATTCAGCCTACAGTAGCAGCCAATGTGTGGTGTTCAATGCCTACATTCCATGAGACTTTTGAAAATAATCATGCAGGGCTTGACATTAACCTGTTTTATCCACTTGTCTTTCAGACAAGGAGGTGACTGAAAATGTTGTGTTTGATGCAAGAAACCACTTTGCAAAATAAAATTCATTATTATTTCCATACCATTATTACAGAGAATCAGACAAATTATGCTACGCTCTGCCTACTGGCTACTTAGCTTATTCAAGACGTCTCAAAATACAACACTTGCCCTTAAGACATAAAAAAAGCTTTTCAAAGATGGCTAGAAATGCACACATTTTGTGCTCTTGTTGGAAGCAAACACTCCCCCATTGTCTAGAAATTAGCTATAACTGGGCTAAATGTGCACACGTGGCTACATGCAGCTCTCACTTTGATCTCAAAACAAGCATATCTACTCGTGACCACTGTCGCCTAAACACAGTCCAGTTCAAAATTAATGGCACAGATCCATATATGGCAAAGGCTATTTGCATATAGGCCTACTGCAGCTCTGATTGGTTATGGCGCACAGGTCTGTGTAGGTCTGTGTAGAGTATAGGCCTGAGTCTAGTGGTGCCTGTCAATGCAATAGAATCCCACTCCAATGCGCTCTGCCTACAAGAAAATCTCTTGCACAGTTAGTTTTGTATACTAAATCTTGCAATCTTGTTCGTTTTGTTTCTGTATATTACATTGAAAGTGGCTAATATTGTGTTGATTTGATCACAATTCCCACAGTAGAGTGAAATGTCGATAGTGTTAACTAAAGGGAAAACTGTAGAAAGTTTAGTAAAGTTCAATTTCGTGCTTCTCTGCACAGCTCATATTTCTTCTGCAAGGCAGTCCGAGCCCATGCGCAGCTTAGAGGGAACATTGGTCATAAACAGCCATAAAATAACTACTGTGGTAGGTTATGTGGGTTTTTACACTGTTATGTAGGTGTCATAACCAGCCATAAAATAACGCAATATACAGTATGTCACAACAGGTCTAAATATATGTGCCATGACAGTGTTATGACCATATTGTAATAGGTTATGGGTGTCAAGTAAAGTGTTACCCAAAATAATACAAAACAACCCGCCCATGTATCCTCAGTATTCATAGTATTCTTAGTGCTTGCCAGTGCATTGTGAACTGCTGTAGCGCAGTGGTCTAAGCAGCGCGCTCTGGCTCCGAGTCTCATGAATTCGCTCCCAGTGCTGGGCGATAGTGACCAGCCTGAGCCTACATTAGGCCCACAAGTTAATTGCATTTATTTCAAGAAGTAAAATGAATAGTCTGAGAATTTACACATCAAACGAAAGTGTCACAGCTCAACGAAACCGTCTTTGGATAGGCTCAAATGCATAAACATCTTGACAGCTTTATGAAATGAAATATTAAAGACAAACTATACAGGTTTTCAATCACACCAAAGACCAGAACTATATTGACATAATGTAGCCTAACTATCAAATGTGGACGAACATCTGTCAATCAACTGATGGCCCAAATGAGCTCATCAACTCAGCCATGGAAACACAGTAGCCTATTATGGGTTTTCACACCTTTCATTATGTGACATTGGATAGGCTAACGGGTAGCCTACAGAATGTAGCCGATTAGAATATAATCAAATAACAAGGGATCTATTGCAGCTATCGATGGCACTAGATTATCACCAGCTGATGTCTCGTTAAACCATCAATACGCGCTAAAATCAACTGTACAGCTGATCTCAATTGCAAGCTCATTACCGCTCCCTAAAAGATTATGTCGGTGTTACCCTTAGTTCTGCTTCCAACCAAATTCTTGCAAAATATGTTTGCACTCTGGTTGGTATTTTAATCGCAACAACTTTTTGAACAGACTAAGGGAGATTTATCTATTTGACAAGCATTCCATAAAATAGAAATAAAGTATTTCTGTAGCAATATACCAGACACTAATGTTGGTGTAGCCAAAAGTGCCAAGCATGGTCATTTCTGTCCATATTTGAAATAAACCTAGTTAATCGGGGTGATTGAATAATCGAACCCACGCCAACAGGGTAGGCCTATTTGTGCACAGCCACGCTAAAGGCAGCGGCCCTAACCGCTAGACCACCCCAGGTCACAATTGAACTTAATTTTGACCTTACAATACACTTGACACTTGTACATCGTAGCCCAGTGGAGACCAATATCTATATTGTGTTATTAAGCTATATAAAACAACGGTTGTGGATGTGTATGGCTGCATTTCAGATACATTTTTGTACATTTGAATGTTGCAGTAATAGGACCTAAGCCTAGCATTTGAGCGAGCGAGCGAAATACAAAATAATTTGGATAGCAAGCCCTGATCCCAATGACTCGACTGCCCCCGCATGGAGAGTAAAATAACTGCTATTTTTAGGGACTCACAAGGCTCATTTGAATTTCTTGATGCAGCAAGAAAATTCTCTGCGACAAAAGATTGATGAAGTTAAGATCCAACATCTGTAGCTGCAATGACTGAGACCAAACGCTTCCTGAAGTAGTTGATCAGTCTCTCACATCACTGTGGAGGAATTTTGGCCCACACTTCCATGCAGAACAGGGCTCTACAGTGCGACCATTTTACTCGCATATGTTCCTACACTACCGTTCAAAAGTTTGGGGTGACTTAGAAATGTCCTTGTTTTTTAAAGAAAATAACATCAAATTGATCAGAAATACAGTGTAGACATTGTTAATGTTGTAAATGGCTATTGTAGCTGGAAACTGCTGATTTTTTATGGAATATTTAATTAGGCGTACAGAGGCCCATTATCAGCAACTATCAGTCCTGTGTTCCAATGGCACGTTGTGTTTGCTAATCCAAGTTTTTCATTTTAAAAGGCTAATTGATCATTCGAAAACCCTTTTGCAATTATGTTAGCACATCTGAAAACTGTTGTGCTGATTAAAGAAGTAATAAAACTGGCCTTCTTGAGACTAGTTGAGTATGTGGAGCATCAGCAATTGTGGGCTCGATTACAGGCTCAAAATGGCCAGAAACAAATAACTTTCTTCTGAAACTCGTCAGTCTATTCTTGTTCTGAGAAATGAAGGCTATTCCATGCGAGAAATTGCCAAGAAACTGAAGATCTCGTACAACGCTGTGTACTACTCCCTTCACAGAACAGCACAAACTGGCTCTAACCAGAATAGAAAGAGGAGTGGTAGGCCCCGGTGCACAACTGAGCAAGAGGACAAATACATTAGAGTGTCTAGTTTGAGAAACAGACGCCTCACAGGTCCTCAACTGGCAGCTTCATTAAATAGTACCCGCAAAACTCCAGTCTCAACGTCAACAGTGAAGAGGCTACTCCGGGATGCTGACCTTCTAGGCAGAGTTGCAAAGAAAAAGCCATATCTCAGACTGGCCAATAAAAATAAAAGATTAAGATGGGCAGTCTGAGATATGACTTTTAAAATAGTCCATTAAAAATCAGCCGTTTCCAGCTACAATAGCCATTTACAACATTAACAATGTCTACATTGTATTTCTGATCAATTTGATGTTATTTTAATGGACAAAAAAAATGTTTTTCTTTCGAAAACAAGGACATTTCTAAGTGACCCCAAACTTTTCAACAGTAGTGTAAATATTTTACTGTGCGACCTGGAATTTTAGTTTAGGAGCACCAGTGCGCCTAGAAAAATTAAAGATTCTAGCTTTAATATCGCAAATATTTTTTATTGTGATCCTTAATTTCTTTGTGTGCACCTCTATTTTTCACGTGCTCCTTGTAAAAAAGGTCAGCGTAGAGCCCTGCAGAACTTCTTTAACCCTTTACACTCGTGGGAATTGGCCCATATGGATAGGGCTAAATTGAAAGGTTTCTTACAGAAGAAATATGAAAAGCATATGCATAATCATGGTAGCATTTGAAAGGGAATAGTTTGGAGATAATGGGCAAATTATTAAACCAAAGGTGAGTACACAACAGTTCACCTGACAAGACTGAATCCAAACATTACACTGTTGACTTTATGTGCATTTTACATTTAATGTACTTTTCGCCACATTTGTTGATAAAGAAATCTGAAAATAATCTAGATACATTCAGTACCATGATAAGACTATTCCTGGAAAATGTGGAGTAGGTGCAACATAAGACCAAAACAATTACAAGGGTTTGAGTGAGAGGACTAACTGGTGTCTCCAAGTGGCCACACACATCTCCAAAGTGTGCACAGTCTCTAATCAATTTCAATGCACTTTTATGACTCAAAGAAAAGTCTTCAACTATAAGGTACTTTTTTGAGCTCTCCTAGCTGTGCCGTTGAGGAACTAGAGCAACTACACTTGAAGTTGTGTGGTCCTCTGTAGAGCATGGCGCTTGTAACGCCAGGGTAGTGGGTTCAATCCCCGGGACCACCCATAAGTAAAAATTGATGCACACATGACTGTAAGTCGCTTTGGATAAAGGCGTCTGCTAAATGGCATTTTATTATTATTATATTATTAAGTTGTTTCATTTGGAACACAACCCTACATCAGTGCCATCACACAATTACACAATTAAAAAAATGTCTATTATAAATCGCAATCTGGGTCAGGTGGGCATGATTTGAAAGCGTGTTCTACTGCCAAGATGACTAGCTAAGTAATAAAATACGATCTTACAGTGTTAGGCTTTCACAAGGCAAAACCCCCAATTGTCCCCATGTTGGGGAATAAAATATTTGAAAGTATATGTTTGAAATATGTCACTGTTCCAAAATCTAAATAAATGTACCTAATGGTAGCGCTCTATTTTTATTTTATTTATTTAACCCTTATTTACCAAGTAAGTTGACTGAGAACACATTCTCATATACAGCAATGACCTGGGGAATGGTTACAGGGGAGAGGAGGGGGGATGAATGAGCCAAATGGAAGCCGGGGATGATTAGGTGGCCATGATGGTATGAGGGCCTGATTGGGAATTTAGCCAGGACACCAGGGTTAACACTCCTACTCTTACGATAAGTGCCATGGGATCTTTAGTGACCACAGAGAGTTAGGACATCCGTTTAACGTCCCATCTGAAAGACAGCACCTTACACAGGGCAATGTCCTGGGGCATTGGGATCATTTTGTTAGACCAGAGACATTGGCCCTCCAACACCACTTCCAGCAGCATCTGGTCTCCCATCCAGGGAGAATGTCAGGCCATCCATCCGTGAGCTGAAGCTGAAGCGCAGCTGGGTCATGCAGCAAGACAATGATCCAAAACACAAGCAAGTCTACATTAGAATGGCTGAAAAGCAACAAATTCAAGGTTCTGGAATGGCCAAGTCAAAGTCTAGACCTAAATCCAATTGAGATGTTGCGGCAGGACCTCCTGAAACGAGAGGTTCATGCTCAAAAACCCACAAATGTCGCTGAGTTAAAGCAGTTCAGCGTGGAAGAGTGGGCCAAAATTCCTCCACAGGGATGTGAGAGACTGATCAACATCTACAGTAAGCGTTTGGTTGCAGTCATTGCAGCTAAAGGTGGCACAACCAGTTATTGAGTGTAAGGGGGCAATTGCTTTTTCACACAGTGGCATTGGGTGTTACATAACTTTGTTAAATAAATGAAATAAGTATCAACATTGTCTTATTTGATCACACAGGTTCCATTTATCTAATATTAGGTTTTGGTTGAAAATCTGATAACATTCAGTGTCAGAAATATGCAAAACAATTGAAAATAAGAAAGGGGGCAAATACTTTTTCAAGGCACTGTATGCCTGTTGTTTCTCTCTGGCAAACACTGTAATTATGTCTCGACCCCATATAGGCCTACCGCTCTTCCTGTTTGTCATTTTATTTCATTTTCCCTCATAGCGGAGCTCATATCATTGTTCAAATAAATCCAAGGGTTTTTATCCTTTCTCCCTGACGGAGGTTTTTAATTTCCTGGCCGCCTATCTACGGAGGTTGGGGTGGGAGGAAAATTGTCTGTGGTAAGCCAACTGTCTGACTTGTTGCTTCAGGGCCCTGTGTTGTCGTCTCGTTGCCTGAATGAGCAGCAGCTGCCAGGTTTGGGCGCCATGACAATGAGATCACTGGGTAAACTAACAACAACAAGATAAAAACTGTAAGAGGTTCTCCATACATCGTAGGGTGTGATAAGTCAGTCAACACCATCTAACCATTTTTCGATAACAGACTATGCATGTTTAGACCTACAATGCCTTCAGTTTATTCATATACCTTGACTTATTCCACATTTTGTTGTGTTACAGCCTGAATTCAAAATGGTTTAAATTGTTTTCTTTTCTTTCATCCATCTACACACAATAATGACAAAGTGAACATATGTTTTTAGACATTTCTGCAAATGTATTGAACATGAAATACAGAAGTATCTCATTTACATACAGTGGGGAGAACAAGTATTTGATACACTGCTGATTTTGCAAGTTTCCCTACTTACAAAGCATGTAGAGGTCTGTAATTTTTATCATAGGTACACTTCAACTGTGAGAGACGGAATCTAAAACAAACATCCAAGAAAATCACATTGTATGATTTTTAAGTAATTAATTTGCATTTTATTGCATGACATAAGTATTTGATACATCAGAAAAGCAGAACTTAATATTTGGTACAGAAACCTTTGTTTGTAATTACAGAGATCATACCTTTCCTGTAGGTCTTGACCAGGTTTGCACACACTGCAGCAGGGATTTTGGCCAATTCCTCCATACAGACCTTCTCCGGATCCTTCAGGTTTCGGGGCTGTCGCTTGGCAATATCGACTTTCAGCTCCCTCCAAAGATTTTCTATTGGGTTCAGGTCTGGAGACTGGCTAGGCCACTCCAGGACCTTGAGATGCTTCTTACGGAGCCACTCCTTAGTTACCCTGGCTGTGTGTTTCAGGTCGTTGTCATGCTGGAAGACCCAGCCACGACCTATCTTCAATGCTCTTACTGAGGGAAGGAGGTTGTTGGCCAAGATCTCGCGATACATGGCCCCATCCATCCTCCCCTCAATACGGTGCAGTCGTCCTGTCCGTAGAATGATGTTTCCACCTCCATGCTTCATGGTTGGGATGGTGTTCTTGGGGTTGTACTCATCCTTCTTCTTCCTCCAAACACGGCGAGTGGAGTTTAGACCAAAAAGCTCTATTTTTGTCTCATCAGACCACATGACCTTCTCCCATTCCTCCTCTGGATCATCCAGATGGTCATTGGCAAACTTCAGATGGGCCTGGACATGCGCTGGCTTGAGCAGGGGGACCTTGCGTGCGCTGCAGGATTTTAATCCATGACGGTGTAGTGTGTTACTAATGGTTTTCTTTGAGACTGTGGTCCCAGCTCTCTTCAGGTCATTGACCAGGTCCTGCCGTGTAGTTCTGGGCTGATCCCTCACCTTCCTCAACATCATTGATGGCCCACGAGGTGAGATCTTGCATGGAGCCCCAGACCGAAGGTGATTGACCGTCATCTTGAACTTCTTCCATTTTCTAATAATTGCACCAACAGTTGTTGCCTTCTCACCAAGCTGCTTGCCTATTGTCCTGTAGCCCATCCCAGCCTTGTGCAGGTCTACAATTTTATCCCTGATGTCCTTACACAGCTCTCTGGTCTTGGCCATTGTGAAGAGGTTGGAGTCTGTTTGATTGAGTGTGTGGACAGGTGTCTTTTATACAGGTAATGAGTTCAAACAGGTGCAGTTAATACAGGTAATGAGTGGAGAACAGGAGGGCTTCTTAAAGAAAAACTAACAGGTCTGTGAGAGCCGGAATTCTTACTGGTTGGTAGGTGATCAAATACTTATGTCATGCAATAAAATGTAAATTCATTACTTAAAAATCATACAATGTGATTTTCTGGATTTTTGTTTTAGATTCCGTCTCTCACAGTTGAAGTGTACCTATGATAAAACTTACAGACCTCTACATGCTTTGTAAGTAGGAAAACCTGCAAAATCGGCAGTGTATCAAATACTTGTTCTCCCCACTGTAAGTATTCACAACGCTGTCAATACTGTGTAGAAGCACCTTTTGCAGCGATGACAGCTGTGAAACTTTCTGGGTAAGTCTCTAAGAGCTTTCCACACCTGGATTGTGCAACATTTGCTGATTATTTTATCAAAATTCTTCAAGCTCTGTCAAATTTGTTGTTGATCATTGCTAGACAACCATTTTCAGGTCTTGCCATAGATTGTCAAGTAGATTTAAGTCAAACCTCTAACTCGGCCACTCAGGATTGTTCACTGTCTTCTTTGTAAGCAACTCCAGTGTAGATTTGGCCTTGTGTTTTAGGTTATAGTCCTGCTGAAAGGTGAATTCATCTCCCAGTGTCTGGTGGAAAGCAGACTGAACCAGGTTTTCCTCTAGGATTGTGTCTGTGCTTAGCTCCATTACATAGATTTTTTATCCTGAAAAGCTCCCCAGTCCTTAATGATTATAAGCATACCCATAACATGATGCAACCACCAAAGTGTAATGAATAACTTCACCATGCTCAATGGGATGTTTAATGTTTTTTATTTATTTTATTTCACCTTTATTTAACCAGGTAAGCCAGTTGAGAACAAGTTCTCATTTACAACTGCGACCTGGCCAAGATAAAGCAAAGCAGTGCGATAAAAACAACAACACAGAGTTACATATGGGGTAAAAAAAACATAAAGTCAAAAAATACAACAGAAAATATATATACAGTGTGTGCAAATGTAGCAAGTTATGGAGGTAAGGCAATAAATAGGCTATAGTGCAAAATAATTACAATTAATATTAACACTGGAATGCTAGATGTGCAAGAGATTATGTGCAAATAGAGATACTGGGGTGCAAAAGAGCAAAATAAATAACAATATAGGGATGAGGTAGTTGGGTGGGCTAATTTCAGATGGGCTGTGTACAGGTGCAGTGATCGGTAAGGTGCGCTGACAACTGATGCTTAAAGTTAGTGAGGGAGATAAGAGTCTCCAGCTTCAGAGATTTTTGCAATTCGTTCCAGTCATTGGCAGCAGAGAACTGGAAGGAATGGCGGCCAAAGGAGGTGTTGGCTTTGGGAATGACCAGTGAGATATACCTGCTGGAGCGCAGACTACGGGTGGGTGCTGCTATGGTGACCAATGAGCTAAGATAAGGCGGGGATTTGCCTAGCAGTGATTTATAGATGGCCTGGAGCCAGTGGGTTTGACGACGAACATGTAGTGAGGACCAGCCAACAAGAGCGTACAGGTCACAGTGGTGGGTAGTGTATGGGGCTTTGGAGACAAAACGGATGGCACTGTGATAGACTACATCCAATTTGCTGAGTAGAGTGTTGGAGGCTATTTTGTAAATGACATTGCCGAAGTCAAGGATCGGTAGGATAGTCAGTTTTACGAGGGCATGTTTGGCAGCATGAGTGAAGGAGGCTTTGTTGCGAAATAGGAAGCCGATTCTAGATTTAACTTTGGATTGGAGATTCTTAATGTGAGTCTGGAAGGAGAGTTTACAGTCTAACCAGACACCTAGGTATTTGTAGTTGTCCACATACTCTAGGTCAGACCCGTCGAGAGTGGTGATTCTAGTCGGGTGGGCGGGTGCCAGCAGCGTTCGATTGAAGAGCATGCATTTAGTTTTACTAGTGTTTAAGAGCAGTTGGAGGCTACTGAAGGAGTGTTGTATGGCATTGAAGCTCGTTTGGAGGTTTGTTAACACAGTGTCCAATGAAGGGCCAGATGTATACAAAATGGTGTCGTCTGCGTAGAGGTGGATCTGAGAGTCACCAGCAGCAAGAGCGACATCATTGATATACACGGAGAAAAGAGTCGGCCCAAGAATTGAACCCTGTGGCACCCCCATAGAGACTGCCATAGGTCCAGACAACAGGCCTTCCGATTTGACATGTCTGTTTTCTTGTTTTGTTTTTTTCATCTACCAATAGGTGCCCTTCTTTGCGAGGCATTGTAAAAACTCCCTGGTCTTTGTGGTTGAATCTATGATAGAAATTCAATACTCAACTGAGTGATCTTACAGATAATTGTATGTGTGGGTAACTTATTATGTGACTTGTTAAGCAAATTTTTACTCCTGAACTTATTTAGGCTTGCCATAACAAAGGGGTTGAATACTTATTGACTCAAGACATTTCAGCTTTTCATTTGTTATTAATTAGTAAAAAATTCTAAAAGCATAATTCCACTTTGACATTATGGGGTATTGTGTATAGGTGTGAAAACTTTCTGAAGGCATTGTATATGCAATCAATAATGGGGCAATAACGATTTATAATGTTTTCCTTCATTGACAATTCAAGTTGAAAAGTTTTAGTTGACTGACACAGGTCTTTGGCATGAATTTAATAGATTTACTGCTCTCTGACACGTACATTCAGTAGATAAGAAGGGAGTCATTAAGTACATTGTTATCAATCGATTATAATCTTTGACAGTGCTTAAAGGAACAGTGCTACTCGAGCAGTTCTACAAATGTCCCTACTGATGAATGGAGCATCTTCCCCAGACCGTCTCTCCAACCTGAGGGCAGCAGCTGTTCAGAGAGCAGTTACCCGTCACCAGTCTGGTCCTCTACAAACACCCCCACCTCACTCAACATACACACATGCGCTCACACACACATACAGTGCCTTCAGAAAGTATTCAGACCCCTTTAGTTTTTCAACATTTTGTTACGTTACAGCCTTATTCTAAAATGGATTAAATAGCTTATTTTCACCTCATCAATTTACACACAATACCCCATAATGACAAAGCAAAAACTGCTTTTTAGAAATCTTTGCTAATTTATTAAAAATAAAAAACTGAAATATCACATTTACATAAGTATTCAGACCCTTTACTCAATACTTTGTTGAAGCACCTTTGGCAGTGATTACCGCATTGTCTTCTTGGGTATGAAGCTTGGCACACCTATATTTGGAGAGTTTCTCCCATTCATCTCTGCAGATCCTCTCAAGCTCTGTCAGGTTGGATGGGGAGCGTTGCTGCACAGCTATTTTCAGGTCTCTCCAGAGATGTTCGATCGGGTTCATGTCCGGGCTCTAGCTGGACCACTCAAGGACATTGAGACTTGTCCCGAAGCCACTCCTGCATTGTAAAGGCTGTGTGCTTAGGGTCGTTGTCCTGTTGGAAGGTGAACCTTTGCCCCCAGTCTGAGGTCCTGAGCGCTCTGGAGCAGGTTTTCATCAAGGATCTCTCTGTACTTTGCTCCGTTCATCTTTGCCTCGATCCTGACTAGTCTCCCAGTCCCTGCCTCTGAAAAACATGCCCACAGCATGATGCTGCCACCACCATGCTTCACCGTAGGGATGGTGCCAGGTTTCCTCCAGACGTGACTCTTGGCATTCAGGCCAAAGAGTTCAATCTTGGTTTCATCAGACCAGAGAATCTTGTTTCTCATGGTCTGAGAGTCCTTTAGGTGCCTTTTGGCAAACTCCAAGCGGCCTTTCATGTGCCTTTTACTGAGGAGTGGCTTCCGTCTGGCCACTCTACCATAAAGGCCTGATTGGTGGAGTGCTGCAGATATGGTTGTCCTTCTGGAAGGTTCTCCCATCTCCACAGAGGAACTCTGGAGCTCTGTTAGAGTGACCATCAGGTTCTTGGTTACCTCCCTGACCAAGGCCATTCTCCCCCGATTGCTCAGTTTGGCCGGGCGGCCAGCTCTAGGAATAATCTTGGTGGTTCCAAACATTTTCCATTTAAGAATAATGAAGGTCACTGTGTTCTTGGGGACCTTTAATGCAGCAGGATTTTTTTGGTACCCTTCCCCAGATCTGTGCCTCGACACAATCCTGTCTCGACCTCATGGCTTTTGTTCTGACATGCACTGTCAACTGTGGGACCTTATATAGACAGGTGTGTGCCTTTCCAAATCATGTCCAATCAATTGAATTTACCACAGGTGGACTCTAATCAAGTTGTAGAAACATCAAGGATGATCAATGGAAACAGGATGCACCTGAGCTCAATTTCGAGTCTCATAGCAAAGGGTCTGAATACTTATATAAAAATTATTATTATTTGTTTTATATACATTTGCAAAAATTTCTAAAAACATGTTTTCGCTTTGTCATTATGGGGTATTGTGTGTAGATTGATGAGGGAAAAAACCTATTTAATCCATTTTAGAATAAGGCTGTAACGTAACAAAATGTGGAAAAAGTCAAGGGGTCTGAATACTTTCCGAATGCACTGTACATGAAGGCAGGGTAAAGTGACTAGGCATCAGGATAGATAATAATAATAAGAGTACAATAAAGAACAGAGTAGCAGCAGCAAATGATGAGTGTAAAAGTGTGTGTGCGTGTCGGTATGCGTGTGTGGGCGAATGTAGTGTATGTGAGTGGGTTCTGTGCAGCTGAGCTCAATTTCGATTCTCATAGCAAAGGGGCTCAATACTTATGTAAATAAGGTTTTCCTTTTTTTTATTTGAATAAATTTGCAAAGATTTCAAAAAACTGTTTTCTCTTTGTTATTATGGGGTATAGTGTGTAGATTGCCGAGGATTTTTTTGTATTTACTCCATTTTAGAATAAGGCTGTAACATAACAAAATGTGGAAAAGGTCAAGGGGTCTGAATACTTTCTTTAGGCACTGTACGCGCACGCACACATACACACACACACACACACACACACACACACACACACACACACACACACACTGCATGTCACGTGACAGGGCCACAGGAAAAGAACAGGAAACCAAATCAGCATCTCCCCAAATCATCTACGACAAACACACACAATCACAAACACACACACGCACGCAGGCACACATGCACACACACAACCACAAACATTATGACACCTACACAAACAACCACATACACACACAATGAGTCTCTATGGTTACCCCTCAAATTGTTCGATGTCAAGCAGAGGGGTTGAGAGAGCTGGTGGCCGTGTTGGCGCGCACTCAGCTTTCTCACGCTCTCCCTTTCCCTCTCATCCTCTCCTCTCCTCTCCGTGCCCATTTCACAGTCTCTCCCTTTCCCTCTCATCCTCTCCTCTCCTCTCCGTGCCCATTTCACAGTCTCTCCCTTTCCCTGTCTTGCTCTCTCCTGTCTATCCGTTTCCCTTTGTCTTTCTCTATCTCAACCCCCTGAAGGAGTGCTGTCCTCCCCCTGCCCCTTCACGTCAACACCTAATGAGGACATGAAAGGCTTGAGGCCACTCTTCCCAAGTGACTGAGATAATGACAGTATTACACATCCTCCCACTCATTCTCAATGAATGGCTCCTAGTCCACATGGAAGGATACCTCCTAATTAGGTGAAAGGAGGGACCATGCATATTGCTTACCGCCTCTGTTCAAATGCAGTTCTGAAGGATCTGTCATTCAGGTTTTTCTTGGAATGTCATGTTTGTTGATAGCATCATACATAAATATAAACGGTAACACTTTCTATGAATAATTTCTAAATAATGCTTTATAAGCGCATAGCATCATACATAAATATGAACAGTAACACATGAATACCATCTTCATAATGCATTATAAGCACATAGCATCACATATAAATATGAACAGTAACACTTCCTATGAATACCCACTTCATAATGTATTATAAGCACATTTATAACACCTTATGAGCTATGCATCATGCATGACATAGGTGCTAATAACTGCTCATAAGCATATAGATAAACAATGAATAAGCAACTAGATTCATAGGGCATTATGACCAGGCCTTATAAACCAAACTGTATAATGCACTATATGAAAAGAATAAGGACAGAGAGCATCATAGGGCTAGATTTTCATTACTTTACACACCCTGTCTTGCACATCAAACATGAGTGAATGTTTTTATTAGCACATGGAAATGACAAGTCTTGGTCAGCATCAAGGGATTTTAATGGAAATTCTGTGACTAAGTGAGAATTTTTACAAAGAGAGTGTGTGTGTGTGTCCACTGTAGGAGTAAGAAGACCCAGTCCTGCATTATTCACACTCACTGTATGCCCTGGGCACTCATCCATGAGTCACTCATATGCACACACACAAACACACACAAACACACACATGCACACATGAAGACTAGGGCCGGGACGACACCAGTATCTAAAAAAAAAACATGACCAAAAAAATTACACGAAGCAGACCAAATTCTTTGCTCCTTTAAAAACCTGCTGTATTTTCAATATTGTGTGCTATAGCTTGGAAAATAAATAAATGTGACTCTGGATGACAACATAATGATGTTTGTTTCCCATTACACTGTTTTGTTTCCTTGCCACGATACTAACGCGTATTGCGATACTGGTATAGTCCCGGCCCTATTGAAGACACACATGAAGACACACATGTGCACACACACATACACACGCACGACACGCATGGCATGTGCAAGCTCCCGCATTGCACGCTTAAACAAAGGGGTGGTGCAAAATAAGAGCCAATCAAAAAGGGGGAGAAGACCACAACTGATGTCTGTGCTGAACACACACATTATATCATCATGACTCTTCACGTTTTGCGTGTTTACAGTTTGGTTCGCCCCCTCACGTTCCCATACCACCCCCCACCCAAACAACACATACCTCAAACAAGGGGGAAAGAACATTGAGTACATACATATAGACCAGGCAGGGTCCAAGCATTCTCAAGCTATTCCAGATGCATGTTTTTCAGCTAGGGAGAGTGAGAGAGTGCTACTAACACATTCCTTGTGTGTGTCTCTCTCTCAAAATGTATTACACTGAACCTCAAAGTGCTCCACATGAAACCAACTCCAGATGAGAGGGGGAGGAGGAGGAGGAGGAGGAGGAGGAGGAGGAGGAGGAGGAGGAGGTTGGAGGAGGAGGAGGAATGGAGGGTGAGGGGTAATAATATTGTGAGGGGCAGCTCCCCAGCTCCACCACTAAAACAGTCCCAACTGTGGAAAAAGGAACCAATATGGTTTGGTCAGGATAACCAGGGGATTTGTTGAGCCTGGATGTGCACGTGATTTATTTTGTAAGGATGGGGATATTGCGTAGAAAGGGGGATTTCACAGACGGATGGGGGAAAGTGCAACAATTGAGAATATTAGATACAACACCATATTTCTAGTAGGGTTAGGCTACTTGATGAACATAATAAACTGTGCATCCTTCCTTCTTTATGCACTCTTTTTATACTTGACTGCCTAAATCACATACAATGGTCATTGGTCAATTTAATATTATTATGATTATTATTTGAGTGAATTCGGTCTCTCCAGTGCCAATAATTATTTACAATTCTGTAGCTCTTATACTGAACATTGTATAGAACATTGTGCAACTCAGCAAAGTTTTGTCCTGTGAGTGTTTATATATATATATATACACTGAACAAAAATATAAACGCAACATGTAAAATGTTGGTCCCATTTTTCATGACCTGAAAAGTTCCCAGAAATGTTCCAATGTGCACAAAAAGTTTATTTCTCAAAAACATTGTGCACAAATTTGATTACATCCCTGTGAGTGAACATTTCACGTGTATGGCGTTGTGTTGGCGAATGGTTTGGGGATGTCAACGTTGTGAACAGAGTGCCCCATGGTGGCGGTGGGGTTATGGTATGGGCAGGCATAACACGGACATCGAACACAATTGCATTTTATCGATGGAAATTTGAATGCACAAAGATACCGTGACAAGATCCTGAGGCCCATTGTCGTGCCATTCATCCTCCACCATCACCTCATGTTTCAGCATGACAATGCACGGCCCCATGTCGCAAGGATCTGTACACAATTCCTGGATGCTGAAGTTTTTCCAGGGCCTGCATACTCATCAGACATGTCACCCATTGAGCATGTTTGGGATGCTCTGGATCCAAGTGTACAACAGCGTGTTCCAGTTCCCGCCAATATACAGCAACTTCGCACAACCATTGAAGAGGAGTGGGACAACATTCCACAGGCCACAATCAACAGCCTGATCAACTCTATGCGAAGGAGATGTGTCGCTCTGCATGAGGCAAATGGTGGTCACAACAGATACTGACTGGTTTTCTGATCCACGCCCCTACCTGTGACCAACAGACGCATATCTGTATTCCCAGTCATGTGAAATCTATAGATTAGGGCCTCATTTATTTATTTCAATTGACTGATTTCCTTATATGAACTGTAACTCAGTAAAATCTTTTAAATGGTTGCATGTTGCGTTTATATTTTTGTTCAGTATATATATATAGATGCGTAATGGTCAGATCAGCACCATAAATGTTATATTAGCATATTTATCCTCTCAAAACAGAGGTCTTAGATGAGAGTTAGGTAACCAAGTCAATGACATCTAAATACCACCTGTAAATCTCAGGTAAATTAAAAGGTGAAATTTATGATCCATGTCACTTTTTTTGACAACATATGAAATTGTTGACAATATTTGAGTGTTGACAACTTAGGAAAAGGGCATTCTGAACTGACTCACCTATTATTTTCTCCTGGTAGCCCTTTGTGAAGAACTGCATCGCAGTCGCGGCTCTCCACGGAGTTTTGAGAAGTCCCTGTCTTTGCGGGTCTTCTCCGAGCCCACGGATAATAGTGGTGTAGGCAGCTGCCAGACTAGGCAAGCTCATCTCGTTGTCTTCTATACTTCGGGTGCGCTCATGCTTCCAGCTTTCCACGACTGACGACCCTGTGTGCGAACTCGACTCACCGGCAGTCCCTTGACATCCCACATTCCGGGTGTCTTTTTTTACCAAGCCGTCAAAGTGTCCGTTTAGAGAACTTTCGTTTGTTGTCGGTCTACTGTCATCTTGATTGTCGTGACTCTGTTTTGAGCGCTCCATAGTTCAGAATTGACGAGAGGTCCCTTCACTTTCACTTTTTCTCTGTCTTGGAGGATGCGCTTTCCAGTGTTCTCGCTTCGCGGACGCCGCTTTGTTTAGGGTGCACCTACCTAGTACACTGCCGGCAGCTGAACTTGTAAAATTACTTGAAGCACACACGCGTTGGTAGTACCGACTGGCATTATAAATATATAATCCTTGTGCATTTCTATTGGTCGAGCATTTTGAGTACGTCACGTTCTGTCAGTGGTAAGCGGATGCAGGACACGCACTCTGCTCGAATTCTGTATGGATCCGAATATGCCCATGCCACAGGTAATCATGATATTCAATATTTAGCTACAGTGGGGAAAATAAGTATTTAGTCAGCCACCAATTGTGCAAGTTCTCCCACTTAAAAAGATGAGAGAGGCCTGTAATGTTCATCATAGGTACACGTCAACTATGACAGACAAAATGAGAAAAAATAATCCAGAAAATCACATTATAGGATTTTTTATGAATTTATTTGCAAATTATGGTGGAAAATAAGTATTGGGTCAATAACAAAAGTTTCTCAATACTTTGTTATATACCCTTTGTTGGCAATGACACAGGTCAAACGTTTTCTGTAAGTCTTCACAAGGTTTTCACACACTGTTGCTGGTATTTTGGCCCATTCCTCCATGCAGATCTCCTCTAGAGCAGTGATGTTTTGGGGCTGTCGCTGGGCAACACGGACTTTCAACTCCCTCCAAAGATTTTCTATGGGGTTGAGAGCTGGAGACTGGCTAGGCCACTCCAGGACCTTGAAATGCTTCTTACGAAGCCACTCCTTCATTGCCCGGGTGGTGTGTTTGGGATCATTGTCATGTTGAAAGACCCAGCCACGGTTCATATTCAATGCCCTTGCTGATGGAAGGAGGTTTTCACTCAAAATCTCACGATACATGGCCCCATTCATTCTTTCCTTTACACGGATCAGTCGTCCTGGTCCCTTTGCAGAAAAACAGCCCCAAGGCATGATGTTTCCACCCCCATGCTTCACAGTAGGTATGGTGTTCTTTGGATGCAACTCAGCATTCTTTGTCCTCCAAACACGACAAGTTGAGTTTTTACCAAAAAGTTCTATTTTGGTTTCATCTGACCATATGACATTCTCCCAATCCTCTTCTGGATCATCCAAATGCACTCTAGCAAACTTCAGACGGGCCTGGACATGTACTGGCTTAAGCAGGGGGACACGTCTTGCACTGCAGGATTTGAGTCCCTGGCGGCGTAGTGTGTTACTGATGGTAGGCTTTGTTACTTTGGTCCCAGCTCTCTGCAGGTCATTCACTAGGTCCCCCCGTGTGGTTCTGGGATTTTTGCTCACCGTTCTTGTGATCATTTTGACCCCACGGGGTGAGATCTTGCGTCAGATCGAGGGAGATTATCAGTGGTCTTGTATGTCTTCCATTTCCTAATAATTGCTCCCACAGTTGATTTCTTCAAACCAAGCTGCTTACCTATTGCAGATTCAGTCTTCCCAGCCTGGTGCAGGTCTACAATTTTGTTTCTCGTGTCCTTTGACAGCTCTTTGGTCTTGGCCATAGTGGAGTTTGGAGTGTGACTGTTTGAGGTTGTGGACAGGTTTCTTTTATACTGATAACAAGTTCAAACAGGTGCCATTAAAACAGGTAATGAGTGGAGGACAGAGGAGCCTCTTAAAGATGAAGTTACAGGTCTGTGAGAACCAGAAATCTTGCTTGTTTGTAGGTGACCAAATACTTATTTTCCACCATAATCTGCAAATAAATTCATTAAAAATCCTACAATGTGATTTTCTGGAGAGAAAAAATTCTCCATTTGTCTGTCATAGTTGACGTGTACCTATGATGAAAATTACAGGCCTCTCTCATCTTTTTAAGTGGGAGAACTTGCACAATTGGTGGCTGACTAAATACTTTTTTCCCCACTGTAAGTAAAATATATGCCATCATGTATTCATATAATAAACAACGTTGTCAAATGTAGTCCTAACATCACATGATTCACACGTCAATCTTTGGAAAAGGTGTATATTTCAATATTTCAGTGTGTTTTTCAAAAAAATAAAACAACATTATTTACTTATAGTTAGGAAACCACAGTGGATCACAGGCTACCACACAATTTAGTTTTTGCACTCTGACAAAAGGTACAAACGAATTTGTGTTTTTAGGGTAACAAACAGCTCTGTTGTACAACAGATCAATAAATATATATTTGAAGGCAGAGGCGTAGGCAGAAATTGCTGAGTTACTGGGAATAAGTAAAAGTGGCTGAGCCAACAACAAAGATACCCCGACATATTTAAGAGAAAATGTGTGCAATCACATTGCATCATTTAACACATAACACAGGACAAATGTGACCTAAAAACACCACAAATTTACATTGACAAACAAGCCATTTATTATTTAAGCAATAAGGCACGAGGGGGTGATATTGGCCAAGGGCTGTTCTTAAACACGACACAATGTGGAGTGCCTGGATACAATCCTTAGCCTGGTATATTGGCCATATACCACAAACCCCTGAGGTGCCTTATTGTTATTATAAACGGGTTACCCACGTAATTAGAACAGTAAAAGTACTTTTTTTTGTCATACCCATGGTATATGGTCTGATATACCACGGCTTTCAGCTTACAACAACACCGCTGAAAAAACAGGTTGACTGTCTGAGTCCAACAGTAAACAAACACAATGAAAATACACAACATGTCTATCACCTACTTATTCAGAGAGAGAGAGAGAGAGAGAGAGAGAGAGAGAGAGAGAGAGAGAGAGAGAGAGAGAGAGAGAAAGAGAGAGAAAGAAAGATTCTACACCAGCAGACAAGTGTAGTGATAAAATGAGAAATATTATAATGTCACAAGCAAGGAAGAATAGAAATACAAAGCCCTGAAAGTGTTTTAATTAATGCACACTTTTAACAAATTAAAACAGCCATACACAATACAATACAAACATGAAATCATCATCATAGCCTAATATCACGGTGGGTATGAATATAGTAGCTCACTTTGAATCAAACAAATATAGGCCTGTCCTACCAAGGCTTGCATGAAAACATTAGACTAAATCATAAATAAACAGCGACTAGTTTACATTTGGATTCATCCTTGTACTTGTCTGCCATAATAGCATAGTAGGTGCTTGTATCACGGGTGATTCAAGCCAGAAAAGAGCCTACTGTAGCTACTGTTGCTAAGATACAGTCATGAATGAATAGACTGTCAATGGAGACACATTCATTTTTATTAGACATCAAACAGCCGACACGTTCACGTCAATTGTCAATTTACTTGTAAGTTTACTATTGCATTTCTGACAATGAACGCCTTCATGAACGTCTATATGACATCTACATGTGCATGCTATTTCCATCTTATAAGATGGAAATGTAAGATCTTATAAGACAACCCTATGCTTAGCATGACTGTCATGGGCAGAGTAATTTAATCAATTTCATTTAATTTAGCTCAAATAGGCCTATCACAAAGAACAGTAACAACTTATTTTTCGTATATAAGAAAACACATTAGGCTAGTTATAATATGCAGCCACCACTCCTGTGGGGACCTATTTCTAAAATCAATATGGACAGCGCCAGGTGCTGAAAGTTGAGTTGGCTAATTTACTAACAACAAGAGGGCTTTGTTGGAGCCCTATTTAAGAAATAAGAGGTAGGCTTACCTTTTTGACAGATGCAATTATGGTATATTTGTCATTATTTCCCACAATCAGTAATTGGCAGACTCCCACCACGGTGAAGGAAGTGCAGCGGTTCTTGGGTTTTGCCAATTACTACCGGAGGTTTATCCGGGGCTTTGGACAGGTAGCAGCTCCCATTACCTCCCTGCTAAAGGGGGGTCCGGTGCGTCTGCAGTGGTCGGCTGAGGCGGACAGGGCTTTTAGACATCTGAAGGACCTGTTTACCTCGGCTCCAGTGCTGGCACATCCGGATCCCTCTTTGGCGTTCCAAGTGGAAGTGGATGCGTCCGAGGCTGGGATCGGTGCTGTACTGTCTCAGTGCTCGGGTACGCCACCAAAACTCCGCCCCTGTGCTTTCTATTCAAAGAAGCTCAGTCCGGCGGAGCGCAATTATGACATGGGGGACAGGGAGCTGTTAGCAGTGGTTCAAGCCCTGAAGGTGTGGAGGCATTGGCTTGATGTGGCTAAACACCCTTTTTGTCACGCCCTGGCTCTGGGGACACTGTTATGTTGAGCCAGGGTGTGTAGATTCAATGTGTTTTGTTTCTATGGGTGCTATTTCTATGTTGGCCAGAGTGGCTCCCAATCAGAGGCAACGAGTGTCAGGTGTTGCTGGTTGTCTCTGATTGGGAGCCATATTTTAACAGTCTGTTTTTCATTCGTGTTTGTGGGATTTTGTTTCCAGTCGGTTTGTGTTAGACCGTGAACTGTCACGATATCGTTTTGTTGTTTTGGTCGTTTGACGCTAAATAAAGAGTATGTTTGCCTGCAACGCTGCGCCTTGGTCCTCTCTCACCGACGATCGTGACAGAAAATCCCACCACAACTGGACCAAGCAGCGAGTCGAGGAGCCATCGCCAGGGAAATCCCTAGCAGATCTCCGTGGCAGCCTCGACTGGGTCAAGCCGAGTGAAGAGCAGAGAGAGTGGACTTGGGAACAATGGAGGAAGAGCTTCGACTGGGTCAAGCCAATTGAGGAGCTGAATAGCGGGAGTTGGAGGCAGAAGAGCGAGAGTTGGGCGAGAACTATAGAGGCCTGGCCCACGGGGAGGAGAGACCCCCAGAATTTTTTTAGGGGGGGGGGCTCACGACGTCGGGGCAGCAGGAGGCCGCGATAGAGCGGTCCAGCGGGTTGGCAGAGGAGGCCGCCAGGTTACGGGGGCCACTGGTCGAAGAGGGGATGGAAGGTGTAGAGGCACGGCGAGAGGTACTGGGGTGTGTTACCAGTCCGGTCCGGCCCGTTCCAGATCCCGGTGTAGGGCCAGTGGTGTGTGTCCCCAG